TAATTCTTTTTTATAATATTTTATATTATCTATTAAATTTCTTCTTTTCTATTAAATATATAGTTTTAATATTAATAAAATAATATCATACCTACCTGTAAGTACTTACTTTTACGTGTTAATTACACTTATTATATATTCTTTTATTTTTACTTGGTAGCGTTTTATTGGGCTTTAACCCCCTATTAGCTCCACTAAAGGTTACTACTAGCTAAACTACAGGGGTTAAATTATACGAAGGTAAATGACGTCAACAACATCCTGCAAGGGCAAATTAAAGTCATGTTCCCTGGATATAATGGGCAACCGAGTAATTATAACCCCGCTATAACGGACTTTACCGTCGACAAAGCAACACACGGTTGCGTCGCCGTCATCCCAGCCATGCATCAGGCCATATATACCAAGGGAAGACACCATGATCCTTGCTCATTGATGCGCTGGGCAAAGACCTCAAGGCTTCCCGAGGCCAAATATTGTCCTACAATACAACCCCTGAATTACTGTCAAAGGAATACCTAGCAGGGGTAGCTAAGGCCAATCCAATATCAACTCTTTACTTAGGCGGGGATATAAGTTACTTGGAAGTACATAAACATATAAGTGAACCCACAATGAAATGTGGTTCTTTTTAGTAATATTTTATCCCCTGTATATCTACCTCGTGCCGCCTATTAGCTTCACAAGGGTAAGAATACAGGTAGCTGTTAGAGCGGTACGTACTGCGGGAGGAAGCAGGGCTAGGTACATATGTATTAATTCTTTTGACAATGATTCAGGGGTTGTATTATACATAATGGCAAGTAATGTTGTTCTTGTTACCGGAGGCAACACAGGCCTTGGGTCTGGTTCGAGATCGTCAAAGGCCTCTATGGTTCCATCACACAATCCGAGATACTACTTGGTGGAAGATCTTTCAACAAGGCAAAGGCAGCGGTGGCCGATATTATGACAAGCTTTCCAAGAGCCAAGGGCCGTGTCACTGGAATCCAAGTAGATGTTGTAGATGATAACTCCATTTCTGCCGCCTTCGATACGGTCAAGGACAAATACGGGCGCCTTAATGTTCTCGTCAACAATGGAGGTGAGAGCACATTATATGGACGGTTTCGTGGCATAATATGCGCCATTCTAACTGCTTCAGGTACCCTATTTGTCATGCAATTGCTGACGGGCAACATGACGATGCGTCAAGTTTGGAACCAGTCCTGGAATGTCAACATAACAGGGTCCCGAGTCATGACGTCTGTTTTTGTACCTCTGCTTCTCCAATAGGACGATCCTCGACTGCTTTTCATCACCAGTGGTACATCCACTCTCGCTGGATCAGAAAACCTAGATCTTCCGATCAATCGCGTTCCGCCTAAGGGCTGGCCAAAGGCTGGCCCGCCACAGATCAGTATACCTGCCTACCGTAGTTCTAAAGCAGGAATGAATATGATCATGAGGTATTACAAAATGCTGGATATGATGGGCCCGTTTTTCCAGATTGTCAGCTAACAAATGTACGCAGAGAGTGGCATAGCACCCTCAAGGAGGACGGGGTCAAAGTATGGGCCATCTCGCCAGGCTATCTTGCTACTGGTCTAGGGGGAAGCGTACAGATAAATAAGAAGCGAAGTGCTGCCGATCCTGCTATAGGTGGACAGTTTGTCAAGGACGTCATTGAAGGGCGTCGGAATAACGACATTGGCAAGGTCATTCTAAGAGACCGTGTGCAGCCTTGGTGATTGCAGGAAACCAGCCATCAAACGCGGAAACTGGTCAACTTGGTAATGAACAAAGATTTTCCTTATTTGCGCTACCTTTCACTTGCGATTTTGGAGCTTACTGTCGAAGCTACCGCACTATGCAATGGTACAGACTAGCTTCTCTGCACTAATTGGCCTCATATATTCCTCAGACCTGCTCGGTGCTTTGCGATAAACTACCAGGCCGGACAATAATGCAAACCCATCTGGAGCAATGCGCTCCAGCCCGCCAGGCATCCTCCGAATCGGGTTCGGATGCAACTTGACCTCGTTACTCGTAGCTCCCGAGTCGAGGAAACTAAAGAACTTTGCGGCAAATTCCCGAGCTTCAGGTTTTGCAGGAAAGAAAACTCCTATACACGAAAGGTATCAGCGCAGAACGTCTTACAACCGTGTTGGTCGGGCAAGACAGACCTGCTCCGTAACAGATCTCAACACCCAGTCCTTCCCAAACGGCACCGCAAATTGGCTTGATTGCCAAGTTGGCTGTATCAAAATTTCCACCACTTGCACTGCGGAGGACGTGGTATTTCCCTTCCGGACGCAAATTACTGTGAACATTTGCAACGGTGTCCCGCTCTGAGATTGTGTCGAGGGCGAAATGAACACCTCTACCGCCCGTGGCACTTCTTACCTGGGCTGGCCAGTCTTTTTCGCGATAGTCGACCAGGTAATCATAGTTTTACGGCGCAGCACGGGGAAACTCATGTTTTGACGAGCTTGCTACTCCAATGAGCCGCAGTCTACGGCCCGAGTTTTCCGAAACCCTATGCACAAGCTGGGCGGCTAATAGCCCTAGACATGTTGACGACCCGTAGACTAAGACATTGATGGGGTCGTCAGAGGTGGTGGTAGAACCAGTCGAGAAGGGACTGGGGAGGCCGAACCTATCAAACAGACCACACATGCTGACTGTAGACGCTTCCTCAAAAGACAGACTCTCCGGAACGGTCCAAAGCAGATCGTATGGAGCCGCGACGTATTCCGCGAAAGCGCCGGAGCCGTCATCGGAAGAGCTGGCTGTAGATTGGATTAGCTGCACTGTTGCTGATGTACTAGGACACTTTGAACGTCTAAATTATACAAACCTCCTTGGAGGAAACCCGCAACCCGCGTTCCATTTTGCACTCGGCCGTCTTTGACGTTATGCAGCTCACAGGCGCCGGAGTGGGAATGTCGCGCACTTCCGTAGATCGAGTTTTTGGGGTAAGAACGAGAGCTTTCATGGTCACTGCTAGGAGCTCAGAGACTTGATGTTCAGTTGCTCAGGCGGCTGGTGATGACATGTATTCAACGGACACAATCTAATGAGCAGAAGCAAATTTATTATATACACGGTTCCCGAGTGTCCAGTCTTTGTGACTAGAAGCCGAACTCCTCCAGCGAGGATTTGTAATGATGCAAGTGAAGAAAATGGCCCCTTCGCTCACGATATTGTGATATGCGTGGCTGATCCTAGAGTTTCATGCTTAGAAATCCAACTGACTTTCTACCCAGTCCAGAACTCCTGGCTAGATGCTGGGCGATTTTCTCATGGGCAGGTTGCGTCGCTAACATGTCCCTCGTCTGTGGCTGAAAACAGGGAATGTCAGCGGGCAGTTCAATAGGATCGCTGACAAAAGTAAAGCATACGAGTCTCAGGATCAGTTGCGGTTTCTGCTTCAGACCACATCATCTTTCCATAAATTTTGCTGCAGGTATATTGAGGTAAAAGTTTGATGGCATATCTGGAGGCCAGCATCCTCATCGGACTACTTGTGCTGGAGTTTCTCTGACGGTTGTAGCAGTCACTTTCGCTGTCTTTTTTTTTTGAACCCGACTTGGAGCCGGTGGCGGACTCGCGGTATTAGTGACGAGATTATGTCCGGAAGGTCATCCCTGACAGTTGCGGGTTTACCAGAACGGAGACGTTCGCGGGACAGCAACCATCTGCTTGCCCGATTTCCATCCGTGCGGCGTGGACTGGATCTATCTCCGTCAACGGGAGGAATATTAAATGCACTTGAACGCTTGTACTTTTAGTTTATAATCAAGTGAATTATATCGATTCCTTGAAACCTTCAATGCGTTTCTACCTATAATTACAAAAAATGACTTCTAATTTAGCAAACTCCTCAATGCCCATGTTCTCATTATCGCAAGATCCTCTCCAATAGGACTCGAGGTGGCTGAGGGTGTCGTCGCATCGGGAGGCAGGGTCACCATAGCCTCCTCTTCAAAACGGAGGGTCGAACGTGTAGTCGATGAACTTAAAGAGCGCTTTCTTCCCGCAAAAGTAGCCGGTGTAATAGCTGATTTCGCTTGTGAGAATATCGAGGAAGCTTTGCTTGGACTGTTGAAGTCTACCACGGAAATACATGGAAAGCTCAACCACGTTGTCTACACAGCGGCAAATAATATTCCTTCAGCCTCAATAAAGGACCTTCCTCCCGAGTTGTTCGTGAAAGCTGCACGGCTGCGGGTTGCCGTCCCGTTTTCTCTCGCCAAGGTTCTTAGCAGCTCTGGGTACCTTGCTCGCGACCGCAATTCCAGCATTGTATTGACGGGCGGAAATATTGCGGTTCGCCCAATTCCGGACTGGGAATTCTCGCACCCGGACTTGAGGGCGCTGTTCGTGGTTTGGCTCTTGATATGGCACCGATTCGTGCAAATCTCGTCGCTCCTGGAGTTGTTGACACCGGGATATTGGGTAACGACAAAGTGAGACGTGACCTGGCGGAAAAGATGGCAGCTACTACGCCCACGCAGAAGATTGGACAGGTGGAAGATGTCGTCGAGGCATATTTGTGGCTCCTAAAGGACGGCAACGCAACGGGAGCGATTGCAAGAACTGAAAGCGGGAATAATCTTGTATAAAGCGGTTGTATCGTAACTTGCTTCGTGGAAATCACCATTTTCACACATGACTGAGCGATTCAAGTGACCGTAGACGCACATTCACATTTCGTCGCTTTCTCCATACTTTGTGCATGGCGAGAATGGTTGATTGCCGGAGCACTTGGAATTCTGGATTGGGTCCGGAGGCAGCGGTAGATAATACCTAGATCCTGGCTATCCCAACTCTGCGCAAAAGATCCGAATGTCACTTTCATTTCAAAATCGGCATTAATACCTGGCACCATACATCCAGCCTCTGAGCACCGGCGGGAGGAGGCGAGGCGTCAACAAGTAATGTGTGTACAACACTCTGCACCAACGGGCATGGGGCTTACGACACCGAAAAAGCTATTTTTCAAGACAGGACCCAGCGCCATAGCTTTTGATTTGCTAGCTGGCCATCGTTTTAGAAGGCTGGGTCAACGGTAGCAGCCCTTAGGAGTTGGCCCTTGGGAGTTGCTCGGCTATGGCCACAGGATGGTTGCACGTAAATATGAGTCTGTTCCTGGCGACGTGGAAATAGTGGAGTGGACGAGTCGTTGATGCCGATGGACACATTTCTTCCCCTTGAATATTTTCTTTTTCTCCTGTGACGATCCCCCGCGGCTTTAGATGACAGACATGTCGCCCCCGAGGCCTTGTGTCATACTTGCGACCGCGCGGTGCGACAACCCCCCCCAACAGTCCATGTTAAATGGCCGACGACACAATGCCAGTGCGTAGAATTGGCCACGGCTTTTTGCATTCGAGTGTAACAGTTACATGTCTCATCTCAATCGAATATACAAAACACATGAAAGCTCAAGCAAGCAAACCGCCTTTGGTACGACCCACGAATGCTGCTGCCCAACGTCCGCCACTTTTGCAGCCCAAGACTCGACACGCTGATAACTATCAGTACGATTCGCCAATACAATGGAGGGGGAATGGTGCGGGCGCAAAGATGCCGGTAGTGTTTTAGGTAACCCAGTTGCTTCTGCCGCCGTATGTCTGTCCACTAGTACCGACCGTACGGAGTAGTTGATTTCAGTTGCCGCCTACAAATATTGACACTGTGCGGCCCAAGGCTGGAAAGGTTTCTTATTGAATCATAGATCGAACGCTGGCGTACGTGGTGCGGTTAATTGTCCGTCTGTGGCTCAGTGGCGGCGTCACTGATTCGCAAAACATTGGTGTCTTCAGATATCTGGTGATGCATCCAAGACTTTCAAGACCCCGCATTTGGATCCCGATGGCTGGCCAACGTAGCACAGAGATGCCAAAAGGAGGCACATGCATTCAATGTCGGATGGTCCAGAGCAGTCTTCGCATGGAATACATATACGTGGCCCTCACCTCTACGGCAAGCTACTGGAGACGTTCCTGAAAGCTGAGCCTTGAAAGCAACTTGTGCGACGCCAAGAGGAGCAATTCAAGAATGGCTACAGCAGCAGTCCTCGGAAGGGCACCGACGGTGCATTCTCTGCCTGGCACTTCGAATATTCCCGTCACTGAATTTCCAGCCCCGGAAGCTGTTGGAGACGTGGACCCCTTGGTGGAAGCTGAGAAGATCATACGTCTTCTCAATGATAGCTTTAGTGATCCAACTTTCCAGGCTACGCAAAATCTCTTTGCGAAACAGGGATACTGGCGAGACCATTTAATCTTGTCATGGAACTTCAGAACCGTTCAAGGCCCTGCTCAGATTGGAGAGTTTCTTAGAGAATGCGCACAATCGAGAGACGGATTCCGGATCAAGAACATCACAATTGATAAGGAAGGGCCGGTTCGTCAGCCCTCCGTGTCCCCGCTCGATGGTGAAGGCAAAGTCTATGGCATCACCGCATTCTTGTCCGTTGAAACAGTGTTGGGGACCGGAGAAGGATTCATTCGGTTGGCCCAGGAAGGTGGCAAATGGAAGATATTCACTATCTATACCAGTCTCCGGTCATTGAAAGGCCACTCTGAAAACACCTTTTCGGGTCGCCCGCGTGGTGTCAATCACGGCGAACAGCCTGGGAGGCGGAACTGGGCAGACAAACGGGCCTCGGCTGTCGCCTACGACGACGGGAGTGAGCCGGCCGTGATAATCATTGGTAAGTGACTCTTAAAACTAGCACATAATCCCTGTTCCAGGCAACCACTTCGGCTTTTGCTGACCAGAGGTCATCAGGTGCTGGCCAAGCTGGTTTGACGGCGGCAGCCAGACTCAAGGCACAAGGCGTCAATGCTCTGATTATCGACCGTAATGACCGAGTGGGCGACAATTGGAGACAGCGTTATCATCATTTAGTCCTACATGATCCAGTATGGTACGATCATATGCCTTACTTGAACTTCCCTCCGCAGTGGCCCATCTTTTCACCAAAGGATAAGTTGGCTCAGTGGTTCGAAGCCTACGCTAATATCATGGAACTGAACGTATGGATGAAGACTAAATTGACCGAAACATCTTGGGATGAGACCAAGAAATGCTGGACTGTCTGCGTCGAGCGCACAACGGATGATGGCTCTACTGAGCGACGCACCTTTCATCCACGTCACATTATCCAAGCCACGGGTCACTCTGGAAAGAAGAATCAACCAACGATCAAAGGGGCAGAGACTTTTAAGGGCGATTTGATTTGCCATTCTTCCGAATTCTCGGGAGCTCAAGAAGGGAGACAGGGCAAGACTGCCGTAGTAGTTGGCAGCTGCAACTCCGCCCTCGACATTGCCCAGGATTTTGCCGAAAAAGGCTACGACGTCACGGTTGTGCAGAGATCTAGCACACATGTTGTTTCGTCATATGCTGTCACTGATATCGCCTTTAAAGGGCTTTATTCAGAAGGTGGCCCCCCGGTTGAGGATGCCGACTTGATTATTCAAAGCATGCCCAACAGCGTGCTGAAGGCAATCCAGGTCAAGGTTGCCGAGCTTCAACGTAACCATGATAAGGACATGCTTCAAGGGCTGGCAAAGGCCGGCTTCAAGGTCGACAACGGACCTGATGAGTCTGGTCTGTTCTTCAAGTATTTCCAAAGAGGCGGAGGATATTACATCGATGTCGGGGCGTCAAAACTGATTATAGATGGCAAGATTAAAGTCAAACAGGGTCTAGAGGTTGCTGAGGTTCTTCCAGATGGCCTTCGGTTCAGCGACCAGTCGGAGCTCAAGGCTGACGAGATTGTTCTGGCCACGGGCTTTCAAAGCATGAAGTCTCATACCAGGCAGATATTCGGTGATGGCGTTGCGGATAAAGTGGAAGAGGTCTGGGGGTTCAATGCGGAAGGCGAATGGCGCACCATCTGGCAACGCAGTGGCCATCCTGGACTCTGGTTTCATGGCGGCAATCTAGGTCTCTGCCGTTATTACTCTCGGCTCCTGGCTCTCCAGATCAAGGGTATGGAGGAAAATCTTTACAACTATGACGAGAACTAGCTTGTAGGAAATTCGAAGGCACGATGTGGACTGTTCCATATGTAACCCTGGTTCATACCGTCTGTGGTCTCGAAATCCAATGGGCCACCAGACTTCAACTGGTGTTTGACGTCAAGCTGTACAGCATCTTGATGCCGTTACGCACAGCTGGGCATATCACAGATCACCAGCGTGCGCCCCAACCCGCTCTAGACTTTTCAATAATTCGGTGTTGTTTCATCCCAGATACATATGTCGGCACTTGAAGCTGCAAGAAAGAAGGAGTTGATGTGCTAATATTTCACCAGAGTGCAATGCAAATGGCATGGGGTCTAATCGATTCTATGATTTACCTACGATGCCTGTAAACAGAAATTCGTACTGTCCATATCGCACCATCCATATCGCACCAGTACATGCAATAGTAGCTTAAGCTCTTGCAGAACCTCGGAATATGTGCCTCTATCTGCCCACGCATGCGGGCTTCTGGCAAGATGTTGAACAGCCAGCCCTATCGCCGCTGTGTCCACAAAGCCGTCCTTATTAACGCGCCTAGCAAGGGATGGCATACTCGGTCCTCTGAAGTCCAATGGCACCGACTGCACATCCAACTTGAAGCCTTGATAATATTGCACCGTAAACTTGTATTTGCGGCCTATTCCTTCTAAGCAGCGCCCTATCCCGGTGCTCCTGGAGCCACCATCTACGACCAAGGTGTCAACATCACGAGCTAGGCGAATGTCTCCATGAATCTGTGCCTCGATAATGTGATCAAGATTGCGACTTGGAGAAGCAGAGCGTGTGTCGGCAGCTCCATATAAATTGCACAAACGATCAACGACTTGAGGTGGGCGAATACCAGATATCCCGAGCATGAAGTCTCTTGTGAAGGACTCTTCGAGTAAGGCCTGGAGAATAGGTGCGAACAGGTCTAATGTCCCTCTGAGCTTGGGGGCGTCCTGTGAACCGCCAGATGTAAATGCCGACTTTTTTGAGACGGCTGGCTTGAGAAGAAAATAGCAAGATCCAAATCTAGGAGCCGGACCGTCAACAGAGTTGGCCAAGTCCAGCGCTCCATACTTTGGTCTATGCGCCAGACTAACACGATGGTCGCTGTAGGCGTCTTCAAAGAGACTGTTCTCCCACTGGTCACGAGGACTGCCTCGAAAGGCCGCAACAAGGCCGCTGGAAATGCCTGTTTCGAACTGGTTGCGGTAAAGGCCATCCTCCAGGAGTGCGGATGCCACCGTGCCGTCGCCAACAGGTCGGTCTGGATGAAAATGCAACGCAATACGAGCGCGATTGCGGACTTCTTTCCCAGCTTGGTGCAACTTGAAATATTCGATACTAGACGTGCGAGCTATTTTTGCAATAGCGGCTTTTGCATCAGATTCAAGAGATTTGGCCTGCTAGGGCTGCCTGCTGGCATGGCAGTAAATTTGCCTCGGCTTCAGTGTTTTGATCCTGGTCTATTGTTTGTCGATTCACGGTACAAGCAATAAGGTCTATGGGATCACGCAATAAATACAGCGAAATTCCGGTACAACGTTTAAAGCAGAATTTGTTGGCAATTTTGATTGTGTCTAGTGAGCTCTGCTCTTCGAGTGACTCACCCGGTGGCTGACGAGACTATCCTAAGCACATTACCACCAAACAAAAAGTCCATCACACTAACATCGAGCTAACCATGCCAGGTCCATACGTAAGCAGCGTTTGTGTGTGTGTGTGTGTGTGTGTGTGTATCTTAATACCTCGTGCTAATGCCGTACAGCCAATGTTGAAAGTTTTCCAACACTATACGGCATACTCCTCACGCACGATGCCACGACTTGAAAATGATTCATGTTCACCAGGAAAATAGTACCCATCAATGGAAGTCGTTGAGTATCTCCAATATTGAGCTTACAAGTGTGCCCTTTCTCTCTATGACTGCCCTCCGTATATGTAGAACTTGGAAAAAGGACTCGCATATTGGACCATGTGGACGACTACATGATCCCTCAATGAAAAAAAACACACAGAATATTTTTTTTTCGGGCGGTCTGCTTAGACGCATTACATTGGCTCAACACTTCAAGCAGCATACACTTGATGTCATCTGCTAATCATTGATGCAGTTCTGCAATTACCAGCCTTTATATAAGTTTTTTTTTTTTTTTCAAAGAGAAATAATGAGATTGCCAAATTTAAATCAATCCATTCGAACTGGCGTGCTGCCGTATTAAAGGTACAATAGAAAGAAACAATGTTGTTTAATGAACATAATATCATCGTATTTCCACATCGATAAACATGGTGTGATTCACATGATGGTTTGTTTCATCCACGACTAATTGTCCATACTCGAGCCGCAACGGATCGGAATGACCTTGATCAACCCAACCTCAATCACCCACGCTCGACAAACGTAGCATCTGCTGCACTGGCGGCAAAAAGCAATCAAGCCCAGTTTATACTGAGGCAACTCAGACGACATAGGCGCCAAGGGCCAAGAGAGCAGCCAAGCCGGCCCCAGGGGTGACAGCATTCGGTGCAGCACCGGCCTTCTTGGCAGTCGATGACGCAGCTGCAGAAGAAGCTGTAGTGCGTCTACCAGTACTCTGGGTCCTGTATACACTCATCTTTAGTAGTTATATCGGTGCAAGATAGATATTTTCACTCACGTAGCCTGTGCGGTAACTCGCCTAGTAGACGAGGAAGACGTCTGTGTCGCAGTCGAGCTTCGGCTGGTAGTGGCAGTGGTAGTCGTGGTGCAGTAAACACCAACGGCAGACGTAGCCACAAGAACAGCAGCGAACTTCATTTTGATGACAAAAGAAGGCTGGCTGGCGGTTACTCTAGCAATACAAAGCGAATGCAGCTTGTGAAAATTGGTAGCTGTAGGCGTGTGTACTTGACAGAGAGTGCAAACGATGATGGCAGTCGTCGGGATATCTGGCGGAATTTATAATCACCTTCCATCTTTCAAAATGCGCTTCACCGTGCATGTATTGTATGATGAATTCTGGAACAAAGCTAGTGTGGTCCCCGTAATTTCCTCTATTGTATGCGGGTTTACAACTTCGCATAATGAACTCGAGCTATACGATTCACGGACCACATGGAAGAAGCCCGACCAAGGCGGAGTAATATCAGCCACCACCACTCTTGATAAGCATCTGCGCAACCAGTGGTTGGTAACTGAGTGTTCTAACTTCTAGCAATTCCTCTTGTTATTCGCCAAGTCATTATTCTTTTCAGTCTCCAGCGTTTTCTGTCAACTCCAAATTATGCCACCTAGGGAAATGCCCAAGTCGTGAATAATAAGCCGTGCTACACAAGGGGCCTGTGTCACACTTCTCTTTCACCTACTGTAGAGTCTCTCTATCGTTAGTATGGGATTCTATCCCTACACATTCGGACAGTTGCCGAAAGACGCCGTATAGCTTCGTGAAATTGGAGCAACCCAGGTCGTGCCCTAGCTTCGGGCACTCCTTGGGCGGCATGCTTGCAAAGCCAAGGCATACTCTACACACTATGACACCGTGACAAAAGTTCTCAAGTCAGTCAAAACCTGGCGATTGGCTTGGTTGGTTGGCTGAACAGTCAACAATATTATCCACCAGCCTGTGGCTGTATACAACCATCCGGCGCATCCAAGACAGATCATCGAAACTGGCCATCGTAGCGCCAATGCGCCTCACGTATGAGCCTCCTCTGTTTCCCAAGTTCTGCCGTGGGTGAAAACTCTTTGGTTATTGTTTTTCAGTAGTCCAGGCAATACATACCCCAACCGCAACATGACGCACCACGGGCATTACAACCGGTACCTGCCGCGTAAAATGCTTGATATTCCCCTCTTTGCCCAAGGGGGTCAATATTCGAAAGATCGATCATCTTCCGGGGTTCGCGTCATGATATGGATACAAAATTTGCGATATCCCGATCACGTACAGCAGTGTGCCTGTATATCAGTCACTAGTACTACTGAGATACAAAGAACGAAATCAACGACCTCAGACCCGAAATGATCACTTCAGAACTTCTTTTCAGTTAGGTTGCATTTCGTCCTGATTATTTCTATCAGATTAAGAGATTCATTCACATGCGATGCAAGTCTTTGCGGGAGCTCTCAAATCTTCCCGTACTGTAAGGAGTCGTTCTTGTCCAATAATATGACACTTTTACCAGCATCGACTGTCGACATCACCCACCACGAGCCTCCTTACCCGGTAGGCTATTCTATGCGAAACGTTGAGCCTTCAATAATAGACAAGCACTCAGCACCGGCCAATCCACTCAGTTGGAGACAGACGACCCTCCAAATTCGTTGTTAATATGATTTCGGCAGCCCCAAGACTGTTTGTCCAATATAGTTACATATCGTTTCCTTCGTTACGGGAGCAATTCTGGGGATCAAAACCTCCCTCAGATACCGTTCCACATGATACTCTTTGGCGTATCCCATGCCGCCATGACCCATGACGGCTCTCTCGCATGCCTTGAAGGCTGCTTCAGCAGCAAGGTATTTTCCAGCATTGGCATATTCTCCGCTTTCATATCCGTCGTCGTACATCCTGGCTGCTTGGGCAAGCATGAGTCGAGCTGCTTCCAGATTCATCCAGCTGTCAGCCAGAGGGTGCTGTATTGCTTGGTTTTGTCCTATTGGCCTGCCAAACACAACCCGCTCATTTGAGTAGATTGCAGCTCTGCGCAATGCAGCGTAGCCCAAGCCTAACGCTTCGCAGCCGATGAGGATGCGTTCCGCATTCATACCATGCATAATCAATTTGAAATCATAGCCCTCATCGCCAATCCTATCTCTAGCAGGAACCTTCCAACCGTCGAAAAAGACGGCATTGCTATCAATAGCTCCGTGACCCATCTTCTCAATCTCAGCGATCTGGATTGGCAAGTTGTCGTTGAGGTCAGTGTAGAAAAGTGACAGCCCTTCAGAAGACTTCTTGACCCGACTGATCGGAGTGGTTCGAGCCAAAATAAGAATCTTTTGCGCGGTTTGAGCGGTAGTTATCCATATCTTCTGTCCCGAGAGTGCATAATGGTTCCCGTTGCGCACTGCCTTTGCTTGTATTTTCAACGTGTCAAGTCCGGTGTCTGGCTCCGTCACGGCAAAGCAGGCTCGCTCCCGCCCAGCCATGAGCGGTTCGAGAAATTTCTTCTTCTGCTGCTCTGTGCCAAAATTTGGCAACCGGCTCGAGACCAAAAATGTTGATGTGGACAGCAGATGCCGCCTGCATTCCGCCTTTATGCTGGCTTCGGCGAGGCCGAGACCTAACCCGCCATACTTGTCGGGTCGGCAAATACCTAGCCATCCTCCTTTGGCGAGGTCTTGGTAAAAGTCGGCAGGGAACTCTTTACTTTGTTCCCTTGCTAGCCAGTAATCGTCTGGGTACTTTTGGCAGATCTTCCCGATGGCTTCTCTTACAGCCTTCTGGGATTCCGTAAGGTCGGGAGTGTATGTTTGTAAATTCTGTGGCTCTAGCCGCGGCACTGAATGGTCTGAAAGCCAGCAGTTGGGGTCTTGCTCGCCTGAAGAGGAGACGGGGTCCTCGGGTTGAACACTGCATTGATGCCACGGTCAGAAGGGGCGCATATTTCGAATAGCACCAGCGAGATGTCTTGCATTCCTGAGACTTGAGCTGGCTCACTGCAGCTTTCAGATCGGATATTGATGTACTCTTCTGCATTTGATGTCTGATTGTGTTGCTTGCGGTTCAGGGGACCGTCCAAGACCCGAAGGGCCGGACGGCAACACGGGGAAGCCTGGGGTTCCTGAGCCGAAATATCCGACCCCATGATGGCCGGCATAAAGCAGATTCCAGAGGGGTTTTGGAGACACCGCAGCTTGATTTTCTGGTACTGCACTTTTTGGCACCGCTCTTGATGCTCGTATTTTGGCGTATTAAAGGTATACATACTGTGTACCGAAACTGTTCGTTTGAAGCCATGGCTGTAGAACGACTGGCAAGACTGGGCCATGCAAGGAGATTTGCGCATCAGAAATTTTCTTTTAAACCGAGATGGCACCATCGACAAAACTTTGCATACTCAAGCACCAGTGGACCTCTATCTGGAATTAAGGTGGTTGATCTGAGCAGGGTTCTGGCGGTGAGTTTTCTGACAACATCAGATGATAGCAGCCAAGTCTGACGAGAAGCGGTTTCGTGCTCAAGTGCCCATTTTGCACCCAGATTTTGGCCGACTATGGAGCGGACGTGATCAAAATCGAGCAACATTCCATAGGCGTAATTTGTCTTCTTCCCTTCGTCCAGCCACAGGTAGTAAAATATTGACCATTTCTTCCAGGACGACACCCGCCGATGGCGCACACACGGAGAGGACGACATGTAGCAGGCAGGAGATAAACAATCCTCGGCCTATTTTGCAACAATCAATCGCAACAAAAGATCCCTCACTCTGAATCTCAAGCGCTCAGAAGCTCGAGATATCTTGCTGGGCCTTGTCCGGCACGCTGACGTCGTGTGAGTCAAGCTGTGGCACCGTCCGCTGTGAAGGCACACGTACACTGACGATTGTACATAGCATCGATCATTTTGTTCCGGGGAAGCTCGATGAGCTTCGAATTGGCTTTGAAGATGTGAAGCGCGTAAAACCCGACATAATCCATGCCAGCATCTCGGGTGCGCTCGTACTCATATTCTGCATGCCAAATTTGCTAACAAAGACATAGGGCATGGTGCGACAGGCCCCTACTCCAAACGGGCTGGCTACGACGTTATTGCTGCCGCAGAGGCAGGCCTGCTTCACATAACGGGCGAACCTGAAGGTAGACCAATGAAGCCAGGTGTAGGTCTCACGAATACGTGTACAGGATTGTATCTCCATGGAGCAATCCTGGCGGCACCGAGGTCGCGCGATGTGACGGGACAAGGCCAACAAGTTGATCCTTCACTTTTTGAAGCTCAAGTTTCTCTTTTGGCTAATGTAGCAATGTCCTGGCTGAACGTTGGACCAGAGGCTCGGAGATGGGGAACCGCACACCCAAGCATTGTCCCTTATGATTGCTTCAAAACAGCAGACTCCTACTTTGTGGTTGGCGCTGTTAATGATCGCCAATTTGGATCGCTATGTCGTCTTCTGCATCTTGAAGACTTGGTAAAAGACAAAAGATTCATTGACAATGGGTCAAGAGTGAAAAATAGGCAGATTCTTGGGGACATTCTTAACGCGACATTTCCTGAGCGGAATACTGCCGAGTGGATGACACGATTGAAGGCAGTGGCATGCCTTGTGGTCCCATCAACACAATGGAGAAGGTGTTTTCTCATCCGCAAACAATTGCAAGAGACATGATACAGACAGTGCTGGATGAGTCGGCCAAGTCTGGAAAGTGCAAGTATTGGGTGCGTACATAGATCTATCGTCGGCCAAACCGCTTTCAAGCTAATCAGGCTGTAACACAAGAATCCCTGTCAAATTTAGTAAAGACCAGCCATCTATTCGCTCAAGGGGCCCCCAATTGGGTGAACACACAGAGGCGGTGCTCATGGAGATTGGATTCACTCAAGATGATATCTTACGACTTCGAAGGGATGGTGTTGTCTAGTGAGCAATGAAGATTGTGCAAAAAAGGATACAATTGAATTCATAATTCAAAGGTCCTATCGAAAACCTAGCGTACACGGCTTTTTCTAGGCGTGGTCATTGCCAGCCAGCCCGCACAGCATACGTCTAGTCCGTTTTTTGAACGGCTTCTGGCTTCTCGCCTGTTGACATTTCAGTGTCTTTGGAATCGAAACCAAGCTGCCGTGTATCCCAGCCCTGGCTCTCTAGATAGTCTCGGAATCGAATGTCTTCATCTGCAATTGTATCCTGACCAATGTTGGGCATGAAGAAGAAAGCGATGACCGCGGACAGGACGGAGAGACTTGATGCGACCCAGAAAGGGTACTGCGCAGACTGAACTTTGTTGCCACCAGCGGCCTGAATGTAAGGAAAGACCCAAGTTCCGATGAAAGCACCGATTTTTCCCACCGCGGCAGCAATACCATAGTACCTGCCACGCACACCGGTTGCGCAGGTTTTGGCGGCTAGCAAGCCAATGTTATTGCCGGGGCCTAATTCACCAAGTGACAGGAAGATGCCATAGACAATTGCAAAGGGGGCGATCTTGTTAGAGATTTGTCCGTAGACACCAGCCATGATGTACCCAACGATTGACTGGGTGCCCACTCCAAGAATCAGAGTGTATTTGGGTCCCAATTTATCACTAACAAAGGAGCCGATGATGGAACCAGGAAGGTAAAACATGTTGATGACGGTGTTCCACCCAAATATCGTAGTCAACGGTGCTTGGTCGTCGTATATACCGCTCAGAATCGACGACGAGTAGATGCCAAAAGCATAGACGGAGAACTGCGACAAGGTTTAGCTGAGAAGACGGTGGAATTATGCATAGCAGGAGCACCAACATTGTACAGAAACCAGATCAGACTGACACACAGCAAGCGAAACCAGTAAAACTTGAGCACAAGAACGTATGGTGTTTGCTTACGCATGGCTTCTTTGGTGAACTCCTCGGGCTCCTTTAATCGCATACGAAGCACGAGCAAGACCAAGGGGAAGGCGACACCGATTCCCAGACTTGTTCTCCAGATGGCACTGTAGTTTGTGTTGTGAGCAGCCGCTGCGATGACATCTGGCGAAAAGTTAGTCCATCAATAGCAGGGCACGCACGACTGGGCCAAGACTAACAGGGCAAGAAAGCGCCAAAGACGAAACCACAGTTGATCATGGTATTGGTGAAGAGGATGAACCACCTGTGTCTTGTGCCCTTTTTAAGATCACCCGTTGACTCGGCACATCCGACACTACCAGCGGGATATTCACCTGAGACGGTAGTTAGCTCAACACTCTGATCAGGAGCCGTGCTCTTCTTCTGCATACCTCCGATGCCAATTCCTACGAAGAAACGCCACGCGGCCAGCATATTGAACATGCCAATCGTGTCGCCCCGGTAGTATGACGCCGCAGCCAGGGCTGTAAAGATGATGAGAATAACAGTAGATACGACGAGCGAGTTTGAGCGAGACCAGCGGTCGGAAAGGAAGCCAAATAACAGCTGGCCAACGACGGTGCCAGCAAACGCAATGTCAGCAACATACTTGGAGGCTTGTGAGTCCTTGTACAACGAGCCATACTGGATTCCCAACACGGTGTTCACCGACCCAATGACCTGTTGATGGAATTAGCATGCGAGCAAGAATTCTCTCGGACGCGAATTCCCTCCACTGACATTATTGATGTAACCGTCTGAAAACAGACCAGCGCCACAAGCAAAAACAGGTAGAGCGGCTTGCCAGAAGGTCTTATGCTGCACTTCAGTGGGCTCATTCGACTCTTGCACCTTGACATCACGGGCCTCGGCCTCCCTGGCTATTTCCGCACTCATCTTTCGACTGCCGGAGACTTGGGACGGGACCAGGGTGTGATTGTTCTTCTTCCGCCTTGTGAATCGCGAGATGAGGTAGCACCGTGCTAGTCCGACTTGCTTTGCGTTGCCCCAGGATTCAGCGGTTAAAGACTGAAGAATTTCAGGGAAAAAAAAAAAGACGGGGGAAATCAGTACGTATATATTACGGACGTCGTGCAGCGTGCTCTTGGCAATGATCTCACCCCATTGACCCACTGCAACTGGCCAAGCTTGGCTTCCTGCATGCAATTGACGAATAAACCAGAGGCTGTGACAAGGGCCACACAATAAGACATCGGTGATGATGCCGGAAAACAGGTCTTGGGTGGAGCGGAATGGCACGGAGTGACGAAACGACTCTGAACATCCTTGTCTACATATCGGGGCGGGTTACCACAGAGGCGCCGATACAAGACGCTCGGATAGATGAGGCTGTAAGCTTAAATCCAAATCGTCGGTTCCGGGGGGGCTGTGTTGTGTATTAATTGGTAAGTAACGGAGCGTCACGTCGACCAAACTCTCTGACCAAGACATGGGCTCTTATGAGGCCCCGAGCGGCAGACGACAGGTTATGAAAACTTGCACATGTGCCTTGGGAAGCGGCCCGGGGGCAAATCAACCAATTGGCATTGCTGTACGGCCACGAGCATTCAATGACACCACGGATTGCCGCCCGGGTTGTCAGTGGATATTCCCTCGACAAGATTCAGGAGTAAACAAACTCTGGGCAACCCAAGCTCGGCAGGCAGGCCACCAACGGTAAAATAGTAAAGTACTACCAGTGCATGTACAACCACATAATACATGATCTCCTCAGCCAACCACGGATCCCTGCTCCCCAGACAAAAGACAGGCGTGGTTTGAAAATTTAATGATCCACACCCCATTCGGAGCTGGCCGTTGGCATCCTGCCGTGCGCCCTCGGTTCAAGAGCATTAGGTACAGTAGTTACCTACCTGATGTACTAGTGCTCGGGAAGTCGAGACGAAAGAAGTTGTTACCGTGGACAACGAGAGCCAATCCATGATTAGCCTGCAATCATGTACAAACAATCCCACTGCCCAACGTTCTTGCATCACACTGCGCAACCAGAGAGGAGAAACTGACTCTTGCCATGGGCAAAGCAATATTTTCTGGCGGGTCTTGGCGGATCCTAGGCCAAGAGCAACGGCATGCCTGAAGCAAGCAAACAAAACTCAACCTTGCCAGTCCAGGATCATGGAAGACAAAGGTCACATGGCAAGTTCCCTTTCACGAGCTTTCTGACAAGCGCTTCTCTCGGCGGGAAATGGTTCCACCGCACACGCTCTTCGTGTTTGCGGCGAGGCTACTCGTCTCGTGCCTCGAAGCTATGGAGTAGTTACAGGCCAGCTTGATTGGTCCGGGGCGCTGTTTTGGTCGCTGAGAAGACGACATAGTCGTGTTGTCCGGGCCACTACAAATCGAGAAGCGATGCCTTGGGTGACTATTCACTCTGGCAAACTCAACGGTGTCGGCATGCACCGTGTAGGCGAGTGTCAAGATATTGAAAGAATAAATGAAATCGAAATGGCAGTACCCTTTACAGAAGCTACGAGTCAATGACCATGTAACTACCATGGCGACTTGTCCCAGCAGTTACTCCGAAGGTATCGACAGTAGTTAAACCTACCCTACATCACTAGCCACGAAACAACAAAAACGCATTCATTCCTATTGCAGCTCATCGCAGAAGCCCTGGAAGCCCTGGTCGTGTCAAGTTATGGCGCTCGCTGTCAATTACAAGACTGGATTCATTAGTGTCCATCTTGAGCAGTGTATCAACTTAAGCTGCGACGAGTAAATACTGACTCTTAGCCTGTTGGTGTGATGACGCTGTCCCTGTGTCTAGTATTTTTAAAGCATGTAAGCCCCCTAGATACGCGCTTTCAATTCGTTAGCTTTCGCATCGCGAGAGCTGACATTCGTCGCGTCACCGCCGTGTCTGGCTTCACTATCATCGTCGTCTTACTTATTAATCTTGACCTGCCCACTTGACGCCGTACCCAGACCGAGCAGCTGCGAATGAAAATTCGTCTAGAACGAATCTGCGGCAACATACACCAAAAGATGAACGCCCGCACAACAATAGGTCTAATGAGAAGCAATGAGTGCCCCAGAGAGGCCAGCTCGAAACCAACGCCATCGAGCGCGACACCAATGAATAAAACCAGCAGCTCGTTTGACTTCCACGCTGCACCTTCACTCACAGTCGCAGATGACACACAAGCCACAGGCGCGACAGAACCGTCATCACCATCAGCCCGCAGGTCAACACACATACACAATGCTTGCCCTTCTCGGGACATGTCATCTGGTTCTGGATCAGGTTTTCTCGGCGCACCGCATCGACTCCCAGCTAGAGGAGATTGCCATGCCGCTCAGCAACAACACGTTGCAGCCCTTCTCCGACAATGTCAGAGACCCGGACGAGCCGAATCACCATCGCCAACATACGAGCCGTGTTTGAGCTCAGAAACACGTCGAAGAGTGGCAGCACATGTCTTCATCATGGACAAGGTGGTGGTTTTGTTCACGGGAAGGCCGCCGCAGATCAGTCGCCGTCATGTTTCGACTCCCTTGCCGTTGGATCTCGACGACCAAGAGCTATTTGGCAGCGAGGCTGCCATTGCCGAGTCGGTGCGCTCTCTCGACGAAAATGGGTGGAACAGCAAGGACGGGCTCTACGCGGCGACTTGCCTTCGGTGTCGTTTGCTGATTGCTTTGCTCCGGGACGAGCTCATCGAAATCGCCGTCGGGAACTGGAAAGAGGCTTCGACTGAGGCCCTGTTGTATGGTTTGCCCCTTTGCCCCTTGGCTTTTGTACACTTCATCTTTTATATTTACTTTTAAATTTTTTTCCCGGGGTGCATATTGACCAGTTGCCAGGCAGTTAAAGCATCGAGAGACGGAGATGGTGGCGAGCTTTCCCGACTCGGTCGTGTATCGCGACGGAGAGTTTGACGATCCTTTGGCTGACATGGAACTTTTGTATGCTCGGCTGCTCATCAAATTAGAGCATCTGCAGAACCTGTTTGTCGTTGAGCGGCTGCTATCGAGGCGTGGCCATCGGGACCGAGGCGAGCTTCTGACGACGAGCTTTGAGCTGGTATCGCGCACGCTACTCTTCTGGACCAACAAGGACCGCTTCAGCATGGTCCGGGCAGGCTTTGCCTGGTTGGTGATGGCTTATGCCACTCCTAGTGGTGGAATTCTCTGCATGCAGCTTCTGAAGCCGAGTTTCAGCGGGCGACATGCGCGGAATCCCAAGATTACGCGGTCCAGCATCATTCAACAACTGAGCCTCCTGATTGGGTTTTTGGACTGGATTGGTCCCAATGGTCCGAATGGCGAGCTCTGCGCAAACTGCAGCTCCGTGATCCAACTTGTGCTGGATCACACGTTGAACGCGCCAGAGGATGAACGCTGGCCGCCGGTGCGCTTGGATACAACGCAACTGGACTTTAATTTTGAGCTCTTTGACACGTTTGACTGGCTCAGGCCGGACACGCCACTATGAGAGCTAAAAGTTTCGGGCAGCGGCTTCACGGCGACGGCACGGCAACTAGCTGCGGCGAGCCAGCAAGAGATATTCTGGAAATTTAGCGCACCAGACCCCATAGGAAGGATCAATTAATGAAGCCCGTCTCCAGCGTGCGACTAGCGCTATTCCTCTGCCTACTCATTAGTTGCGACACGTTGCGCCGGCGGGTTGACGGCCAACCAACCAACCAACCAACCAACCGACCCGTCTTGGAATGCGGCCTACGGTGAGACAAGACGTCTGGTCACCCAACACCTAATCCAGACCTGTACCACGCCATGCAGTCAAGTGGAGAGTTTGCCTTGAGGGGTGAGTGGCCCTGGGTCAGATCCAAGCTTACCTCGGCAGATGCCTCCCCTGCTTCTCTGGGGATAATTTGTCAGATTCTGATCTTGCCAATAAACAAACATGCTCGTCATGCCTTTCCAATACACAGCCTAACATCCCCAAGCTGCTTGCTTATTCCCACAACATAGCACTTGATGCTGTTATAACACCATTACCTGCGCAGGTGCATGAAGGTATCCATGCCCAATGTTGAGTTTGCCAACCAACCCCGGTAGATTGTTGACAATATAGGTTGCACTGCGGGCGTTCCTCCACGGGTTTGACGACAGGAAGCCTCACCTCCAACAAGGTCATCTGCATCCCGTAGCATCACACTCGCGTCAAAGTATAGGCCGCTGTGCAACAGGCGTAGCTAAACGAGTTGGGAAATGGCGGAGCAAAATACCAAAGGTCCCAAGGCTGGTCAAAAAGTAGCCCTCGTCACTGGAGCTGGAGTCGGAGGCATAGGAGGCTCACTCGCCATCGAGCTGCATTCAGCTGGTTACTTTGTCATCTGCGCTGTGCGACGGCCCTCCAGCGCCAGCGAGCTCTTGAGGCCGGGCATGATGGCCATTGAGCTCGACGTCTCGTCGACCGATTCCGTATCGGCCGCAGTGAACAAGGTCTCTTCCATCGCAAACGACAAGCTCCATGTTCTCATCAACAATGCAGGCTCCGCGACGCACCGGCCGGCTTTGGACCTCGATGTCGATGGTGTCGTGGCCTCCATGTTTGATGTCAACGTCCTGGGCGTCATGCGAATGGTCAAGGGCTTCTCGGACCTTTTGATCAATGCAAGAGGATGCATTGTGAACATTGGTAGCATTGCACCAATCGTGCCGCTGGTCTATTCCTCAGCCTACAATGCCAGCAAAGCAGCACTTCATGCCTATGGTGACTCGCTCCGCATGGAGCTTAAGCCTTTCGGGTACTATGCATTCCGCTGTGATTGTCTTTTTTTTCTGCAGACAGCCTCGCTGACCGGCTGTGATGTAGGGTTGATGTTGTTACCGTTGTGACGGGCGGCGTGAAGAGCAACATAGGCGAGTCACTCAGTCCATGGTTTCTAGATGCGGCAACTAACTCGCCTTTTAGTCCGCGAGGACAGCCCATCTCTCCCCGAGGGCTCGCGGTACCTCCCCCTGCAGGATTCCTGGCTGCACCGAGTGACAATGTCTCAAAAGGGAGCAATGGATACCGATGAGTACGCACGCAAGGTTGTAGGCATGATCCAGAAGAAGAGCAAACCCATTTGGTTCTGGAGCGGAGGTTCCGTTTCTATTGCCTGGTTCATGTATTACTTTGTTCCACGGAGCGTGAGACTTTTCGTAATGGCTAGACGCTTTGGGCTGATTGGGAAGAAGCTTCTTTGACAATAGGGACGACCTGAAAACCATGAATAGCTAGCATTTGCATCCGAAACTCGAACGTATTAGACATTAATCATGGGGTCCATTTCAAGGCTCCGAAAGCACCAACAAATCCCTGATTAGACAGCAGCTAACTTTAAAAGAGGCTTTCCTTTACTCCCAAGTTGTGAATCGGGACGCGCCACCACCACGGGTTTGCGTCCCGATGCGGCAATTGCATGTGCATTATTAATTGGCACATTCACCGTCGCGCCTATGCTAATACAATGGTATAAAAATTGTAAAAAGTATAGAAATGTCTTGAAGGGGTGGGCGATCTCTAAAGCACACCATTGACCATGAGAATCAGCTTCCCGCGACTTCGTTGCTCAATATCTTATCATGACTTCTCTGAACATTGCCTTTATTGGCACCGCTACCGCGGTTCTTGACATCAATGGCATCAATTTCATTACTGGTCCACTCTTTTCTCTCGCTGGAACGGAGTGGGATCAGGGCATTATTGTACTGAAAGCTGCATCTGCTCCTGCTCTGAGCCTGGCAGATCTCCCGGTCATAGATGCTGTACTTCTGAGCCACGAAGACCATCCCGATACTCTAGACGGACTTGGTCGTAGGTTGCTCGACGGACGCCGAGTGTTTACTACCCGTGACGGTGCCAACAAACTCGCACCTCGTCCCGGCGTCCATAGACGACAACGTCCAGCATTGGCGGCGTACCCTTTAAAGTGACGGCTACTCCTTGTCAGCACTTGCCCGGCGGAGAATGTGTTGGCTTCGTCCTGTCCGGCCCGGAATTTGGCCAAGCTAATCGAAAGCCAAATGGCATTTACTTCTCTGGCGACACTGTGTACATGGAAGAGCTCACGGCGGTCAAGGACAAATTCCACATCCGAGTCGCACTGCTGAGCCTTGGAGCAGCATCCGTCCCTGTATCGACCCGCCGCTGCAAATCACCATGGACGCACAGGATTCGCTGGCTGAAACCAGGGGTGGAAACGCCCATCATCTGATTCCCATCCTTCTTGGGCCCCAAGCTGTGACTTTAATACAGTTGAGCTAGTCATCGTTTCCGCCAGTCTGGTGTGTGTTAGTAGATAGACGCAATATCTTCACGGGGTATTGAACAATGCACTGAGATGGGAACATCTTTTGTCGTTGATATTCTTAAGCACACTGTTGGATAATGTAGAATCGACTTGATGCTGAAAGCATTTAGAGGCAACCTTGACCGGGAGGCTTATGGGAACCGGAACCATGAGTGATGCTTCCTAGCTCTACATGTATGACAGAATGTGCGCTGCCTGATTTTCAGATTATATCTCGAGGAAATACAACTACATTATCGAGGACGTTGTGGCAGTCTAGAAGCCGACGATGTGCAAAGCACATATGGTAGAAGTGTGAAGGCTGTTGTGACAAATCGAGTCAAAGTCAGAGATTCGCCACGACTCTGGTCCTCATGGTTTCGAAACTCACCAAGATGGAGACGTCTACCGGTTTCCTTGGCAGTTTGGTACGTATGTATGTATGTGTTGTGGCTGTTAGTTGGGGGCGTTGGGGCCACTTTGACAACGGGCCATGGCAACTATTAAAGTAAATATCTAGGTAGGTAACTACCAGAATACCTACGTACGGAGAGCAAGTTGCTCACTGTAACTCAGATCCCTGCCTCTTACTCCGTACTGGCATCAATTGATGCTGTTCACCAGGGGCTTGACCCATCAGCGCAAACCCAGCGAGTTGTTTCAGCGATAACAGCACTCGAGAATAGACTTCTATACAGGCCGCTTGCGGTGGAGGCGAGCTTGTCGCGTCACAAGCAAGAATCGACAGAAGCGAAGCATCTAATATTGGGGGTTGAGTATTGGGGCATCGCCGCGAAACCCGGGGAAAGTCTTCTTGTGTTTTTTTTGCCTTGGCGAGATCAGACTACAAAGCACGAGACTTGGCTTTCTTCTTTCGCCGACATAGTTTCCAAATCCTCTTTTCTGGCTAGACATTCCGTTTGCTCCGGTTTAAACCTGCGGGCTTCAAAGATGCGCCGTTGTCCCGGTGGTCTTTCCGCCCGCCGAGGCCATGACACGCCTGCATCTTTTCAAGCCGTTCGACATCTTCTCATGTAGTCACTTGCCTGGTGCAAAGTCAGTTGATCTCTAGCACTCCCAATCAACAGCCGCGGCTCCCCTCCTCGTATGCCTACTCCGCAGCTCCGCGTTGTACTACAATGTAAGTTTTCTGGACGAGAGAGGTGCAGGACAAATCTGCAAGACTCATCACTAGAGCAATCGGCCCAGGAACCTTGGAATTGCTTTGCTGCACCGACAATGCTTCCCGACATCAAACCCTTCAAAATTGCCGTCCCAGACTCGGCCATTGCCGCGTTGAAGGCTAAATTGGCCAAGGCTGCCTACCCGGACGAAGTGGACTTCTCTGATGTCTGGAATTATGGCGCGACGCGGAACGACGTCAAACGGCTCGCCAAACATTGGGAGGATGGGTTTGACTGGAGAGCGCAAGAGCAGAAACTGAACAAGCTGCCTCACTACATGACCAAGATTTCCGTCGACGGTTTTGAACCGCTCGACATTCACTTCATCCACCAGAGGAGCTCCCAGTCAAACGCCATTCCATTATTATTCGTCCACGGATGTGAGTGTTATTGCCCCTCAGGGTCCGTACCGCGCCGTTGAATCGAAATTTCTAACGAAAATGAATATGGAACAGGGCCTGGGAGCTTCCTGGAAGTTACCAAGATCTTGCCTCTGCTCACGGAGCCTCGACAGGGCCAGTCTTTTCACGTCATCGCACCGTCACTGCCCAATTTCGGCTTCTCTCAGCAGGTCCGGCAACGAGGATTTGCTCTTCGCCAGTACGCAGAGTGCATGCACAAGGTTATGCTTCAACTAGGCTATGAAAACTATGGTAGGATGACCCTGACCGCTAAACATGGCACCTTGCCAGGCAACTTTGCCCCTGAATTAATGCTTCATACAGTGACTCAAGGAGGAGATTGGGGCTTCTTCATCACCCGCCTCATTGCCTTGCATTATCCGAAGCATTGTCTCGCATCGCACATCAATTTCCCGCTTGTCCGGCCGCCTCCGGCCAAATCGCTGTGGTTTGGCCTTCAGTATCTCCTAGGGCAGTACTCGCACACAGATAAGCAGTGGCTTGCGAGAACATTGTGGTATTTCGCAGAGGGCGCAGGCTACATGATGCAACAGAGCACAAAACCATCAACGCTGGGCTTCTCACTCGCCGACTCACCGGTGGCCTTGCTGGGATGGATATATGAAAAGTTGCACGATTGGACTGATGACTACCCTTGGACCGACGACGAAATCTTGACATGGGTCTCCATTTACCAGTTCTCTACTGCTGGCCCGGCCGCGAGCCTTCGCATCTACTACGAGGCATACCACTCGCGCAAAGCGTCTTTCAGATGCACACGGTACGTGCCTTCGGTTCCACTGGGGATATCGTACTACCCCAAGGACTTGTTTGTCGTGCCCAAGTCGTGGGGCAAATGTCTAGGTCCGGTAGTCTATGAAGCGACGCACACCCACGGCGGACACTTTGCGGCTTTTGAGAAACCCGAGCTTTTTGTCGCGGATCTGCAGTCCATGTTTGGAGAGGAAGGAGGAGCTCATGGCGTGGCCCAGACGTTGTCTTCAACAGTGTAGGCTTACATGTAACGCTTTGGATGGACCGAAGCTGCGCAATGTTCTACGTAGAGGTAGTGGTCGACCTAGCCAACAGCTTGAACACGGCAATCATGTCATCCTCTGCCATCCCGGATGCTCTTGCTTGGCTGTAAAGCTCCCCACATAGCCGAACGAGCGGCGACTTCGTTTCTGCCTCTGTCGCCGCCGCCTGGATGAGCTGCGTGCTGTTGTAACAGTCCTCGATGGCAGCCTGTGCGGACCAGTCTTGAGCCAAGACTTTGTCCACCTTGAGCTTGGAGTATGCAGATGCCAGAGGACCGGCGGCTAGGACCTTGGAGAAGGCATCGAGGTCCAGTCCCTGCGCTTGTGCGAGGCTCATGGCCTCTGCGAGTCCCGCCGTCACTGTAATCAAGTAGGCGTTGATGGCATACTTCATTTTGAGACCCGAGCCGATTGGGCCGCAGTAGACTGAAGCAGAAGTGAGCGGCTGTACGTACGGTCGAACTCGCTCACATACAGCCTTGTCGCCGGCCATCATTCCTACAAGCTTGCCTTGCTCTGCAGGGACTTTGCTCCCACTTACAGGCATCTCGATGTAGCTTCCCCCAGCGCTCAAAATTTGTCTCTCAAGTTTCTGGCTGAATTCCACGGGTACTGAGCTGGTATTGACGATTGTTTTGTTCCTGATGGCTCTCTTGAAGCTGTCGTCGAATATAGATTGGATGGCCGGCGCATCGAAGAGCATGGTGAAGACGAGATCAGACTGTTTGGCGACCTGGGCTGGTGTATCGCCAATCCTGGCCCCGGCATCGGCCAATGTAGGATACTTGGAAGCGGTCCGATTCCAAACCGTTGTTGGATAATTTTTGCAAAGATTCAGGGCCATGGGCGTGCCCATTCGGCCCAGGCCAAGAAACCCGATTCTCATGGTCGAGCTGTTTGGGTTGTACTTTACGCGCACCAAAGCCTTTTATGCGACGACTGCAAGGAGTAGTCTGCGGGTGTCCAAAATGACTGCGTGGTCTCAACTGAAGCTCGTAGACCAGTTCGCGAACAAGTGGTTGAATATATTCGTAGGTCGAAGGGTTCAACAACTGGCTTCTTTCGGCTCAAGGGCGCAGCCACGTCAAAAAGCCAACAGGCCCACCTCGACGACTTGCCATGAAGGGCGCTGAAGTGTTAGAATCGATGTCCCCCCACAAGTGAGACTTGACTCTCTTTGGTCTGAGTGCTCCGTGTGCTATGGTTGGAGTCTCAGCTTCTGTTTGAAGTGGACAAACCGACGTCTCTAACCGACCGACTCGCGTAGCCTACCATGGCCAATGATTTGGATGTGAGTGCGGGCGAACTTGGGTATAATCGCCACTGAGATCAAGTGACAGTGCTCTATGATCATTGTCATCGAGGCGGTTCATGTAACCTGGTGCTCCGAGTCGCTAAAGAGGTCTTGCTGTAGGCTCATACTGGAAAGAGCCTAAGAGGGTGATTCAGGCTGGCTCAGGGACAAAATGTAGCTATTGGCCTCGACAAGTCTTTGATAGCTAGTTAATGGAATTTTTCGGTGACTGCAGCAATCAGCAGATGGAAACCTTATCTCGCCAAGAGCCTCCCTGAATCTCCACTGATCGAAACGGCAGATCGACAGACCACCTTCAATGCTTTGACAGCTGTTTTGGTCCTATGATGATACATGCAATGACACATAAAGTCTACTCACACGGTCCAAGTACGGCTTGTTATTGTCTCCTTCACTTCTGGTCTTGTACCGGTAACTCCGTACAATGCTCTACATTGTGTTTTCTGCCTCGACAGATCAAATCAAAGCATCCATGCAGCTTTGTGAAGATCTACTGCCTAGGCCGCCAAAGGCGTAGTACTAGCTTCCTACCCGGTACAAATTTGGGTCTAGGAGCCCGTATCTAATAAGCCGGCCCTACTTGTGCCGCTTCTGACAAACTCAAGCTTTGAGTGATTTGTGTCTGACACATATAACCATGTGTTGACCTGTCGCCACCAACTTCACAAGGGCCACACAGATAGCCATCGTCATCATATATATTTCAACATGAATGCTCGGTATGGAGCACACTGTCCTTCTAATTATTATACAATGCCAATCCATCTACTATATAAGACCAGAAGACCAACTCCACCAAACTCCGCGCCACCGCTGAAAAAAAATGCGTCGCATGATGAGATAGAAAAGGTACTGCAGCTATGGGGACCACAGCATGGGACCCGTGCAGACATTCTCCTTGGCGTAGGAACGATAGCGATCCAATATATCGGTTGTATCCAACCCTCCCTCTTTTGATTGCGGCCCAAAGCTGTAATGGGCGACTACACCGCGCCCATCCGCAACTGCACCTGCAGGGCCATGTCAGCAACTCGATTCCACAAGTCGGCGCAATTTCCCGCTGATAAACTTACCTCTACCCAGTCTCCTCGGCATGGTGACGGAAAAGTGCTCTTCGTCGTCCCTGTTGATGGGCTTGGCGGCATTGATGTCGCGGCCCATCATGGCAATAAACTGGATGCCCATGCGCAACCGTTGGAAATCCCAAACGTTGAACTTGTATTGCCATAGCTCTCGGGACTCCAAATTCTCAAAGAAGCTGTAGTGCTCTTGCGCCGCCACTTGCCACCTCTGAAGCCCGGTGCCAAAGGCATCGTACTGCGTCTCCGTGATGGGCGTTTTATCCAGCACATGGTCGGACTTGCCACGGACCGGCAGCCAGCGGTGTTTCTTATTGTCGGGCGAGCTCCAAAAGCTGGCGTTGACGTCACTCGGGCCATGCCAAGATGGCAATACCGACGCCCTCCAGTCGACTTGGTGCCCGGGCTCGGGAGCGGGATATTCGTCCTCGGTTTCGGGGAGGTAGGGTCGCACGGCGCCGAGATTCCAGTGAATCCAACTAATCATGGGTTGATTGACGACGTTTGCCGAGACGACGTAGAAGTCTGGTCGCGTAAGCTTCGTGCAAACAATGGAGCTGATTGCGTTTTCCTCGATAAAAACCTGCGGCCTTGTCAGACGGCGAAGCACTCGGCAGAGGTGTGGGTAGAACCAACAATGTCATCGTCAATCTTGATGTACATGTTGCCATCTTCGATGATGTTGTAGGAGCTGGCAAAGTCGTACGCATTGGCATCGTCGATTATCTGTCTCGAGTACTGCGGCTCGCTCTCCAGCAGTCTGTCCAGGAGGGCAAGATCTTGTTTGTTGCTCGTTCGCTGCAGCCAGACTACTTCGTCCAACAGACCGCCATTCGTCGCTAAATTGCGCTAACAGACGGCAGAAAAACACACATTAGCGTCAGACACACATGGTCAACAAGTGAAGAATGGGACAGACTTGACGGCACGGGGAAGATTACGGGGCTTGACTCTGCCGCTCCATACGTACCTTGAGGTAGCAGTCAAGAATCGACACGGTCGCCCGTCTACCGAAGAAGACAAGTGCAATTATTCTTGGTGCTGTGACGAGTTGTTGCTCCCTTTCGTGTGCCTTTGACGACTTGTTTCCGAATGACTTGGACTGGCCTTCTCCAAAGCCGCGGGGGCAGCGAATCTCTTTGTGCGGAACAATGGGCACGGCGGCGTGATCGGCATGGACCTTGGGAAGGAATTTCTCGACATTGGGGAGCAGATGGCTCTGCCAGACATAGACGATGAGCGTCAAGAACACAATGATGCCCGCAACGGCGAGGCGCTTCCCCAACGCGGGCGCCATCGAGTGTCAGAACCGCGACAGTCCAGACATGGATATGATGGGCGTGAAGATGTCAAACGAAAAACAAGCACAAGGGCTTTTGAGGCGAGGGACGGATAACTTTGACAGCCACTTGGGCCGAGCTGACAGGTCGCACTGACGGAACAGCTCCCAGTACGTACTCCTTTCCATCATTGCATCCAGACCCCATGTCGGCCTGTGTCTCGACACCATCGAATGAAAGTGGCTGAGCTGAGTTTCTTACAATTCAGACCCTGAATGTTTAGCCAGGTGTGACATAGCAAGGGGGGTTCAAGCCAATGAGATATCACTATTACAGAGAGCATATGGGGGTTTAAAGTACCTGATAACGCGATAAAATCTCTTATCAATAAAGGTTACTCTTACAAGACCCACTACTCCCCTGTCATTTAACCTATATTATAGTTAACAGCTATTAATATAAATAAAAAGAGCTCCTGTTAGCAGAAAAGTCCCTGTAAATAAACCCCACTTACTTCCTTGTCAGGTCACTCCAGCCATTAATATAAATAAAAAGAGCTCCTGTTAGCAGAAAAGTCCCTGTAAATAAACCCCACTTAATTCCTTGTCAGGTCACTCATGGCTAAACTTACAGGGGTTAGATTGTACTCTCTCCGTGAAAGCCCTGCTCCACCAACACGCCGCCCGGAAACCCCCCATGTCCTATAGAAGGACCAGATTGGCCCACGGACATTGGCCCATGGCGCCTGGATCATCCGGGCTTGGCCGTTATTGGGAAAGGACGGGATGCTTGCGTACCAGGAACGAAGCCGGACGTGTCCACAGGCATTCATTCTGGACTATTGGTTACATGTCCGACGAATAAGCCCCGTCCAGCACGCGACAATGCCCACTTTCTTCTCGCCGAGCCAACTCTTCCGAGCCGCCCTGCTAAGCCTTGTGAACCTCTTTGTTTCAATACCGGGTACCCTGCGGGGGTCGATATGCCCAATTTTGTTTGTCTGCTTTCGCTTCATGGCCAAGACAAGCAAAGACATTTGCGGTTTCAACGCTCTCTCAATGCTGGAGAGTTGTCCCTGTTTCATCCTTTGTTGCCTCTCCAAGTAGATAAGCAAGCATAGACAGGTAAAGCCATGCCGTTGGTCTTGAACTTTGGCGGAGGATCGGGCCTATCAAGACGTTGATTTTACTCCGTACGGCAAGCTTGAAAACTGGACTCTTGTGGGTTGATCGCTGCCACCCTCGTCCACAGGCGTCGTACAAACTTTTTAGGCCTCTCCTGTAGCCGACCATCTTGTCCGGTTTCCAGGCGTTGTACCGCCGGACGTGACGCCCTGGCCTGACGTCGCCGCTCGTCTTGAACCTGGGCGCAATCTCGCTTGTCGGCGATTCGTTATGAGCCATGATGACCCCGGCTGCACATAGGCAAGGTAGTTGGATGCCTTGCACCTAGAAAATTCGTCTGGTTCAGGGTTTGTTCGAGGATAACAGTCTAGGCGTCCCCGCAGTGGTATCGCAGTCTAAATCTGAAAGTGTCTATCCTTCTTCTCGCATTGCTATTTAGCTGAGGCGTAAATCCAGGACAACTGCGTACAGACGGTGCAGAATAGAGAGTGCCCTTGATACAAATATCTCCTTTATCGTAGCGCAGATTAAGAGTTGAGTATACTACACATCTAACAATGGCAACCAACCCGAAAGCGGACCCGTCTCTGTTCCGGCAAGATCGGGCCACCATGTCTAGTATTCTGATTGCCAACCTCTGATGGTACAGGTTTACAAGTCAGCAGCACAGAAGAGGCTAAGAAACCACGACCGGTGTCCCGTGTCTCAGCAACCAGTCTCGAATCAGTTCAACCACGACGAGCTTCCGTTTCGCGATCTCTACAAGGCTTGTTAGTAGTGACCGCCTGGAAGCCAACCGCAGGGGAGTTTCAAATCTGAATGGACTCGTCTGAAGTTCGTAGTACGTTTATTCTTTGGAGAATACTAAGTGTGATTCATCACGCTCGTTGATTCGTTTATGCAATAATTTAATTGGCAAAGCGGAAGTGGAACTCCGAATGGCTGCAAAGGGAAGGCCAGTGTAACATGTAGATGATGATGACCTCAAATAACCAGTTTCTTGTAGCCCACTCATTTCTGTTGAAAGAGCTGGCGTTTTGGATCTGCAGCCACCGCCCGAGCATTCATTGCGTTGAATCCCGTTCACAGATTACCAAGGCTTTTGAGAGAAGTAAACGAGTGTTAACCATAAAGTATGATGATGATGGCGTTCACGTACGAAAAGCGCTCTATATGCTTTAATGCAAGGCATGGTGTCAGCATTGTAAACTCACAGGGAGGATTTTGGAGATGACTTGTTTCTTTCAGTGTATTCACCTTTTATTGCAGAGTCCGGATTATATACGCCTAAGTCATTTAAACATGTCCTAGTGTTTCCATTATAAGCAATACCTATAATAATAGCATGAAGGACTAAAATAACATATGAGCCCCACCGTTTGGAGCTGACGTATTCTCCAGTATCCTCGAAGTTTATATTATATAGCTCCTATATTATACTTTCTACCTACCTAGAAAACTATTCTGCTCTAAACTAGAAGTTGAGTTATTTTTCTCCCTGCAGCCATTTTTGGAAATACCCACCGCATGACGGGTGTAGCGAACTACGATTTTGAACTGGCGCATGCACGTATCGTCAGCTACATACGACTGTTACCTCGGACGAGCAGGACTGAGATTGACTAAGCGAATATTTCACCCGCGCATTGAAGAAGGTGAGTCTCGTAGTTACAAAAACGTGTGCCGGAATCATGCTGACAACACACAAGGTACAAGTGTAGCATGGCCAGAATCGTGCATGGCCTTGCTCATCGTAAGATACGTACATTGCCGAAATTAAATATGTTGATCAGCCCTACGTTTTCCGCTCCAAGCGCATGAATAGCTCAAGCCTGTCCACACTGTGCTCTAGCAACTCTCTAAAGGGGCCACTTTGTTGAGATAACTGGATTGGTCGTCCACTTTCAACGATTCTGCCTCCATCAAGCACCAAAAGCTCATCAAAGTCGATGACCGTTGACAGACGATGAGCAATGACTATGACTGTGCATTGTGAGAAAGCTTTCCTTAGAAGCTGCGGTAGGATATTGTCGGTAGCCATATCGACCGCGCTTGTGGCTTCATCGAGCACTAGAATTCGCGGTTTGGATATTACTGCTCTGGCCAAGCAAATGAGCTGTCTCTGACCTTGTGAGATGTTGGATCCGCCGGTAGCCAGAGACATGCTGAGCGGAAGATCTAGTCCAAGTTCCCGCAACGTCTTGATTAGTGTTTCATCAGGGTGGTCACCAGACATATTGAGGTAGCTTCGTACTGTTCCGCTAAAGAGGAATGGATCCTGGGGAACAATGAACATCCGTTGGCGAAGATCTACCAGACTTAGAGTAGAAATATCTATGCCATCAACAATAATCCTTCCTTGTCTACTTTCAAGGATTCGAAATAGGGCTAGTGAGAGCGAGGATTTCCCAGCGCCTGTTCGACCGACAATACCGACACGCTGGCGTGAATTCACAACAAAGTCAATGTTCTTCAGCACTGGAGGCAGATTCGGATACCCAGTGGAAAAATTATCGACGACAATTTTACCCGTCTGTGGCCAATTGTCAGGAGCCTCGCAGCCAGCTCCAAACTCGGATGGCAGCTCGTTGTATTCTGCGATTCGATTGGCGGCATTGACGTCGTTCTGAATCACAACTGCTTTTTTTATGAGCAAGCTCATCGATCCAGAGAATTGTCTTGCAACTATCAAGGCAAAGCCAGCTGATCCAGAATTGATGCGGCCTGAAGCAGCTCCAAGTGCAATCATTGCTTCGAAAACGACGCCTAGAATGCCCACGCGCAGTTCCATCCATCTCGAGCAGAGGCAGTCGTACCAAGCTGCTCTGGACGAATCATCAATAAGAGCATCCATATGAAGGATATAATCGGCCGACCTTCCAAATGCTCTAATAACAAGCAGACCGTTTGAAGTCAAGGTGGAATGAAGCTGGCTATAAATCGGGGACAGTTGAGTGGAATTGAGTTGTTGCAGTTGTTGTGCGATTGGCATGCAACGTTGTGAGACTCGCCAATATGCCCCAAGTAGGCCAAGAGCACAAACACAAGTGTATGGTGATATAAGTATTCTATCCAACATCAGTTTTGTCAACGGTATTCACCGCGAATGCGTCTTCTTTGTTGGACTGCTTATCGCTTACCCAGTTGTGATGACAAACATGAGTCTGGCTGCGAGCTCAATCTCAGCACCAAGATTGCTCGCTATTCTCCTATCAACGACTAGCAAGTCTGAACTGAAACGTTTGAGAATCTCGCCGCGAGGATACGTTTCAATCCAATGCAGGGGTGCCTGCAATATGGAACGAACCATACCTCGAAAGATGTTTTGAGAAGCCTTGTGACTGACATTATACAGAGCAAAAGACTTAAAACCGAGCATCAAGGCACTCGCAATTGAAGCCAGAATATATATTCCGATATAATAAGTGCCTGAACGGTGGGGTTTCCCGGTTCTGTCATCGACAAGCGCAGCTGTGTCGTGCGCGTAGTCGGTAGCAAGGCCATCGGTCCAATGCTTCAACCACCACGGCCCGCTGTGTGTCGCGGCCTCTGATAGGAGAATGACGATTATTGTACATGACCAACTGGATAAGCTGCCTTGTCGTACATATTCTGCAAGGCCAGCAAGTGTCGATTTCTGTTGGTGCGCCGCCGTGTCACTCGCGGCTGGTTGATTCCCGACTGAATCTTTGTCAGAGCCACGTTGAGTCTCGGCGCCCTCAAGGGCTGTGACAGCTTGTGCTAGCTTCATGCTGGCTTCGAGTCTCTTTGTTTCTGTGCGTAGTGCCTGCCGATTTGAAAGATGCATAACAAAACTTGCAAATGGTTGGCACATGGTGACGTGATGGGTGACCATGATCAACGTCCTTCCCTGTGCAAGTTGGCCAAGCAATGCCCGTTCCAAGACTTGCTTTCGAACCGATGAGTCGATAGCTGACAGGATATCCCCAATTAAAATAGTGGTGGCTTTCGAATATAGTGCTCTAGCCAAACACACTCTCCAGCGTTGCCCTCCGCTCAATGACGTTCCCGTAGGGCCGACGTCAGTTCCATCGGCATTGGGCAAATTTCGGATATCTTTTTCCAACGCACAAGCTTTGATAACGTCGGAATACCTCGCTGAGTCATAAGAACAGCCAAATAAGATGTTCTCCTTGAGTGACGTTCGTTCTAGCCATGTCGGCTGAGACACAATAGCAACCGGAGATGATGTCGGTACGGTAGCGGCCTGACCGTCGCTACAAGGTGCATAAATAAAACCAGACACTACGTCTGCTTCCCCCAAAATTGCATTCAACACGAGGTTTTTGCCTGATCCGGTTCCGCCGGCTATAATTGACAATTTACCACGGGGAAACTGTAAAGACAAGTCGTTGAGGGAGAAGGCTGACGACCCCGCTCCTCCAAAGGGTTTGGATGGCCATGAAACTGTCGCATCTTTAAAAATGACGGATTCTGATGGTATAATAATGTTTTGTTTCTCTGGTAGCTTCAGGAAAGCTTCTAGTCTTTCACAACTAGCCCAACCCTCCAAGAGATATGACCATGTTAACGGCAGGACAGCAAGGTCAGCTTGAAGCTTTTGTAGTAGTCCCAGAGATGTAAAGGCAATTGAGGCTGTCAACCTCCCGCTTCGGTATGAATACAAGGCAATGGGTAGAATGGCTAGTATTAGAGGGCAGATATTGGCCAAGACGACGACGATACACATGGTAACTGCGCTCCGATGCATCTGGTCCATCTCCCCCCGCCGAATATCCAGAAGTCTCTTCTCCCACTGGGATTCAAATACTCCAAGACGAATGTCCCGGATACCTTGCAGTGCTTCTGAGAGCAAGTTGGACCTTTGGTCTCGATACTTCATCAAGCCATAGTAGAACTTTGAGTAGGTTGCAGAGATTTTGAAGTTGAGGGCTGTAGTCACAATGGTACAGAGGATACTAAATGTTATAGCTTGCCATCCAATCAGTTGTGCCAAGGTTATCACGGTGAAGAATAACTTGACAACGGATTGGGGGATCAGTATGTTCTGGCCGCAGACGGCCGAAACTTTGCCACTAGTTGCGCATTTTTAGCCACGCATCCAAGTCGGTGGTTGTCAAGATAATACTCACGTATCGAGTTGTAAATGATTGTCAATAGACTTTGTCAAACTCGGTGGATCTTGGCGAGATTGCTGTTGGGAATTCCTGTTTTCGGGCTGACCCTCGCTGAAGTTGGGCAACTTTAAAGTTTTGCGGTATACAAGTGAGCTCAACACAGCTTGCATAGGAATTTGGAATTGGGACATGGTAAACCACTGCACCAACTCCCGGATCCAAACTTCCGTGACGAGACTAAGACCGTATAAGACGCCACAAAGAGTAACTTTTCGATCCATTGGGTTTTCCTCTAATGCTCGCAGCAAGTAAAAGAGCGCATACTGTGGTACAAATTGCGTAACGGCTTTAATGGCGACAAGGACCCATTGCTTCAGAAGTTGCGGATAGTAGGCCTGGAGCAGCCAAGCCCAAAGCTTCTGATCGGATCGGTATTCGGGTAACTGATCCATTAAATGACCTGTTTGAAGAGAGCTACCGAGGAGTGGTAGTTCATCCTTGCTTATCGACGAAGTCTCTCGCAACTGGTGGAACATTTTGCTTTCCCATGAGAATGTCAACAGGTCAAGCAAGTGGGCAGTGGAGACTCTGGCAACTGGTTTCCCTGAAGTAGACATCTCCGGGTGCTGAGGGTGCAAAAGAAAGCCAATGGTTTGTAAAAGAAGTCCTGCCACTTGTCGTAGCCTCCAATATTCTCCTTGGTTCAGCTGTTGACTTTGTGTCAGGAAAAAAGTCGCTTGTTGGGCAAGCAACATGACATTGGAGGCAGCCCCGTATACGGCTACGAGAAAGGATGTCGCGTACCTATCGGCAGTTATCATGCTGGATACAAGGTAGCACAGTTGAAGGCTCCAATTTAACACCTCGAAAAGCAATTCAGTACTCAAGGCCAAAGAAATCTTGATTGGAGTAGCTTACTTGTGTCCAGGCACACAACGATTCTTGATTCTCCTTTCGGATACAAGTTGATAACCCTGGTCCTGCGGCAGCAACGGCAGCTCCGATGGATGAAAGTATAAGAGATAGCCTAGTTGACCTATGATATCTGCTTTTTGAGACAGTCGATACATGGCTACGTTGACCAGAGGTGGATGCACTGGATGGGTTGAAAGCAGCTGCGCCGGTGACGACCAACGCATGACAGGCTAGGATAGCATGGACTCCTGAGCAAATGACGCTTGGCCAATCTTTGGGTAAAAGGTGATAACATTTTGCCATGGCAGAGAGGACCATGCTTGCGGGTCCGGCGCCGACGGTTTTGATGGCAAAAGATTGCGATGGTCTCTCTCTGTGTCGCAGATTTGTTCACACAAGACGAAAATCATTGCCCTCAAGCTGTTACGATGATGACTCATGCTGAAATTTGCACCATGTTAAAAACTTATGTCATCTTGCACTGACCAGACGCTTCTCCTGAGTCCTGACCGGGGGCTCGGCCAGACAGGCTGCAGGTGGTGATTGGCTACGTGCTGTAAACACGCAATCCTTCTCATGGCGAACCTGCAAGGCGAGGTAAGTCGAGAAGATTGCTATCCGCTGCCAGGTTTGTCTTTGCTTCTCGCGCAGACCATTCATCCCGACATCGGGAAGGGATGTGGGAGGCTGGGGCTCCAACTTGGGTGAACAACTCTCGGGTACGGAGTACTGCTGCGTGTAGCCTCAGTGCCAGGTAGTAATTGATACGTCAATTCAATGTTGACATCAATATGTCAAGTAGCCATTCTCAAGCCTGTATATCGCGGGGCCGCGGCCACTGGCCCCCAACGCACCACTGAGAACCTGATACGGAGACACCCAACAGTCTTGCCGTTGCGAGGACTGAACGATACGATACATATCTTCGTTCCGAGCGCTATGAAAGGCCATGCCCGAATACCCCGCTGCATGTCTGAGGCCAGTGTTGTTACGGAGTATCGGTCTTGGTACTCCGTAATTGTCGAGCTATCCTGGTCGAAATCCTCTCGGTTCGGCCGGGCACTAACCCACTTGACATTTGCAGCAGGCGTCAAGTTGCAAATGACAGACTGAGGCGGGGTTGTGGACTTGGCCTGACTTGGCTGACGTTGCAGATCGGATCTGCATGTTGGCTCAGGCCATCACACAAGAGTCCCCTTGTAGACAAGTATGCATGATATTCCACGCGGACGACGTAACATCGCACGGCTGTCCGTGTCTGCCGTCGGACAAGACAAGTCAAGGAAATTTGCATCTCCTACCCATCTTTCCCATGTTTGCATCTTCAGGACCCGTTCGAGTAGAAAGTGTTCAGAACTGGAACAGATGGGTAGCTGTCCTACCATATCGTGGCTGATATGGGGCGTGGGGGCAGGTGTCCTGAAAGTAGGAAAGTATCATTGATGAGAGACAAAGTCTTTTAAAAAGTGATCGGATTCTAATCTAATACCCGACATGACTCCGTTAGAGCTTCGGGTAAGAAACAGACTGCCGCAGTGATTAATGTGTTGCTCACCGTCATATCGAGGCTCAACTTAAACTCCGTTAAATTGGGACCGAAATTGCTTTCTCCGGTAGGAAAAACAGTGTGCTATACACCATTCCGAAGTTGAGTAGAACCCGAAGCCATCATCATCCACGTGGTTCCGCATTTCTCCTGGAGATATCTCTAATGTGTGGTTTGAATCGGTCCAATATCGCCAGCTGCCCATCATCCAAGTTTTCGAATTCAATAGTGAGCTGCTCGTCTCGACATTGCGCTGGCAACCAGGCTGCGGCAAGAGAGTCATACTTGCGGCCCATTGCGCGTGCCTCAGTGCAAGTGTGGTTCCGCAATTGCAGCTTCCCAGAGCAGCTTTTCTGCTTTGGCTGTTTGCATCATTTATCATTTCTCTGCTCCTATAGATCGTGACCGGGCTGAGCATCGTCACTGGTCCTGGTATAGTGAAACAGACCAAGATAAGATCCTTCAGGATGCACCAAGGGGATAGAATCGCCCAAGCCAGTCATTGATGGTTTTGCACCTGTCATAGTCCAGTCGGGCGTAGCATGGTTCATGTTCCCTATATCAACAACCAGGGGAACATATCCTTGAATTACTGTCTTGACTCGCTCACATACCCTATTCTTCTTATTCTAAATACCTTCTAGTATCCTCGGCATAGAAGAGGTCACAAAGAACAAAGGTAGTGCTTGTCAGAATAAGATTGATGAGTGTTGGGTAAAGAAGCGGAGCGCCGCTTTTCGGCTCACCTGTTCGTGAAAAGATCCTTGTCGAGTCGCAATTGTGAGTCGATATCCTGATAAGGCACCGTGCAAGGGTGAGCAAGCTGCATAGCGTAGTAAAGGTGCCGTCTTCGCACGCGGTTGCAGTGGCGTGACAGGCCTCGGCTGGATGCAAACCCGTCTTTGCAAGCTGGCTGATTGTATGAGCTCCAACTTGACCATTATCTGTTTGGTTGTTTGTTCAAGTCATTTACTTCCATATTGCGTTTCTCGTTTTCTTATGCTCTTCAGAATGAATCTGCCTACTTTTCTCGCCGCTGCGAAGCTGTTCCTTGTGGCTTGTGAAGCCACTGAGCAGTGGGAAAGGATACCTCGAGGTTGGAACTTGGCCAACAAACCGCCGCCAGATGCTATTGCTACGTTCACTCTGGCATTGAACATGGAAAATTTTGACTCTTTGGCTTCGGCACTTTTGGACATCTCTGATACAGAAAGCCCCCAATATGGGAAATATTGGGATCAAGCGGATATTTATTCAAGATTTGCACCTTCTAATAAAGCTGTCTCAACCACCCTAGGTTGGCTGGTTAGCCAAGGTGTTCGCAATTACACAGTCGATTGGATATTCATTGATTTCACAACAACTATTGCTACGGCAGATAATCTTTTAAACGCGTCATACCATTACTACACGAATAATGTGACGACAGTGCTTCGAACGGCGGGCTATTCTGTCCCAGAAATAATACAAAACAGCACTCTACTCATCTCTCCTGGAACTTATTTAGGAGCGCCAAATTCTATGCAACTGTCGCTTCGTCCATCCGGAGCTCGTGAGTCGCTTCGACGCTCTGGGGTATCAAAGGATGGAAACCCATGTCTTCAAGCGATAAGTCCGCCATGTCTCAAACAAATGTACAAAATAGCAAACTATACTCCGCTTGAAGGATCGGGTAGCACTATTGGGTTCTCGAGCTTCCTCAATCAATCAACTCTTCACAATGATCTCTTCGAGTTTGAAAGGCATTTTGCCATCCCGAGTCAGAATATTTCTGTTGAACTGATTGCTGGTGGTACAGATAACCAGAATGAGTCTACAGCACAGTTTACAGAAGCCGACCTGGACGCTCAAACTATCGTTGGTGTTGCTCACCCGCTGCCAGTCACGCAGTTCATAGTAGGTGGGAAACCGTACGTCCATGTCCACCAAAACATAATATTTCTTAACACTAACTTCAATTTGAGACCATTTATTCCAAACATAGATCATAAGACAGAGAACCGGAACTTCAATGAGCCGTATGTTCCCTACTATAGGCACCTTTTGTCACGGTCAAAGAATGACCTCCCATATGTGATCTCAAACTCATATGGTGAACAGGAGGACTCGGTGCCAATCAGATATGCCTTACTTACCTGCAATCTCATTGGCCTTTTGGGTCTCCGAGGAGTAACAGTTGTGCAGTCTTCCGGAGACAGTGGAGTGGGAAGCGGTTGTTTGGCACCGGACTTCAGGACTGCGGAATTCTATCCCATTTTTCCTGCCACTTGCCCATGGGTAACAAGCGTCGGCGGTACGGTCGGATTTTCACCGGAATCTGCTTGGAAAGGTAGCTCTGGTGGATTCAGCCGCTACTTTTCCCGGCCTTCCTATCAAGACGCCTCAGTCTCCATGTACATGGACACTCTAGCTCCCGAAACACGTGAATACTATGGAAAGTACACAAACTGGAATGGACGTGCGTTTCCAGATGTTGCAGCTCATAGCCTATCTCCAGACTTCCAAGTCGTGTATCGAGGACTGGTTGCGATGAGCGGCGGGACGAGTGCATCGGCGCCGGTGTGGGCGGGCATTGTAGCTCTGCTCAATGATGCAAGGCTGCGAGCAGGCAAGCCAGTTCTCGGATGGCTGAATCCGCTCCTTTATGCCCGGGGATTCCTGTCGCTGAACGACATTACTGAGGGTTTCAGTGAAGGTTGCAATGGTATGAATCCAGGCACAAATGCTACTGAGCCAGATGGTGCTGGAATAATCCCTGGGGCTAGATGGAATGCGACAATAGGCTGGGACCCTGTAACTGGATTGGGCACACCGGATTTCCAGAAGTTGAAGCATCTTGTCCTCAGCCTCTAAGCCTTTTCTTGCACGCATACTCTCTCGATCATGGCGCACACAGTCCGTCTAGAAGTAAACAGATAAATACCACATCTCATACTTTTAGTATCATTTGCCTCTCGATGCATGAACATTCTCAAAAAAAGTCGAGATTCACTTTTGACCAAATACTCTCTCTACAGTGTCACCAACAGCCAAATCCCAAGGTTCAACAGGACTCACAGCTGACCCTTCCGAAACTGACCAAAGTAGATCTGTATTCTTGCACCAATGCATTGTTCCAAGGCCGTCCACACCATGAGCAACGATGTTCCCAGCATCATCCTTTCTAACCCATGGTCGCTCAATTGTGCCATCACCAGCACACATGATTGCCTTTGAAGACACAGGGTGATTGGTTAGCTCTGGGCAGGTAAACAGTGTGATGGAAGGCCATAAATACCTGTGCGAGATAACCTATGCAATGAGGTAAATGACTCTCATGTAGGAAATGTTCGTCGGCACGCTCGCCCCGTCGGGCGGAATGGCTATCCTGCGGATGCTCTGGTGTATTTCGCAGCTGCCTCTGCAGCATTGCTCTCAAAAGCGTTAGGCAGTGCATTTGGTGAAACATCGAAATTCCCCAGTCTATGTTGAACGTTTCATTGTGCCTTATTGAGATAAAGCCCTCATTTTTTGGCATTACAGTAGAAGACCAATGTTCGTCGTTATCATGGGAAACGTCTTCCAAAGCACTGAACCGAGTAAAGTTACTCGTCTCCCATGATTCTGAAAGTTTTCTATCATGGCGATAGCAGATACGAAACGGGGTTTCTGGGTGAAGCTGAAGTGTTAAAACTACTAAGCTGACCATTAAGATCCCTATCGTCAGCGGATAAGGGTTCCTGGTCTTGAAGGATTTGAATTCCATAGCATCGCTCTTTGAGATACGGATTGCAGAGAGGGAAGGGGGCGAGAGGAGATTGCCGGTTCGTGACTACTCTATGTTGAGTGTCTGTCAGAAACGGCGCAGTCAGGAGCATTTAACCGGGCTTGACCTCACTTACGAATTGAGGCTGCAGGAGGAAAACTAAGAAGGATACACCCTCTGCCAGAATGGTGGGCGGGGGGTAGTCCTAATAATACAGCCACCCTCTTGGACACCGTGGCGGAAATTTTAGTTACTGAGCCCAAAATGATTTCCGCTACTGTGTGATATGTCACATAATAGCGCGTAACGATAGATCATCCGGCCTTGAACGCCCATTTCCTGTCTGGTAGCTTTCTGTACTCTGGTTTACCTGCACAGAATCTTTTTAGGTGTGTCGAGAGCCGCCCATACCGTAATGCATTGCTGCAACGTTCCGTTTACGGGCATCTCAATTCTCTGGACATCGGTCCACTCCGGTAGACAAGAATATAGATCACCTTTCCCACACTGGACATCATTAGGTTCCTCGGACAACTTCCCCGGTTCTTCCCTGTTTCTCGTGTCTGCCAAGCAACGAGGGAGCTGCAAGCGCATCGAAATTTCTACCTCTGATCAAATATAAACTGAAAAAATTACCTGACCACATGTTCACAACACCATTCAAGTCTTAAGGTAGAGGAAATGTTACTCAGCAGACGAGGCTCGATTTGCAGTGAGCGCCATGATGAAGATGGCCTACTTGGCAAAAACGCCCAGTTCATTTCAGAGCGTGTAACGTCTTCGAGATGGCTATTTATTCTCATTCTCGGATCATTGGCCCTAAATGTCGTTCTTTTCTGTATTGTTTTTCTCCATGATAGTTCTGAGCGTCTATACCGCATGCCTCAATTATTATACTGTGAGTGACGAACGAGTGCTGGGTATTACCGGCAATATAGCTCCTGAACTTACTCCGTCAACAGCTCCCGCCCAAGATGCTATTCGTTATGAAGTGAAAAAGTTTCATCGAGGTTTTGGGGAACAAAAAACAATATACCAAGGAGATCCTTCTCCAGAAGTCGACAAAATATGGAAGAGTCTGTACAACGGTAGGTTTCGGTCTCTTCTATTCAACCTCACCGCTTGAAAACTTATGCTTTGTTTTTGACACCGTCACCCAGAAATTGGTATAAGCAGATTATCTCGAGAGCAAGCAGAGCTTCTTCCGAATCGCACATACCCATTCATGGGAGATGACGGGTATTACATAGCTGAGTTGGCTGTCTTCCATCAGCTACATTGTGTTGTATGTAAGATTTTCTTCTCCACAAATAATTTGTTGCTAACATAGCGGCCAGAACGTAATTAGAATAGCGTTATTCAAAGACTACTATCAAACGGTCCTCAGTCCAGAAGAGTTCGACGATGTGCAAGGCTCGTATGGGCGTGACCATATTAGCCACTGCCTAGATGCCGTTCGGGAGGCAATCATGTGTGCGTCTGACGTTAGTGTCATTACTTGGCAGTGGAATGACCAAGCAAAAAAGGCTCTAGGCCATGGCGATGTTCTTCACACCTGTCGAAGCTTCGAAAAAATTCAGGAATGGGCAGCTGAGAATCAAGCGGTGGTGGACTTCAACGCCGAGATCTTCGTCAAAGGCGACCCCGTTGTGGATGGCGTTGACTGATACTTGTCTGGAAAACTCAAAGTAGAGGTGCCTCGGGTTTTAAATAAGACACAGTCATCTTTGGCAGCTAGGGTAAACTTGCTCCGTATATTGTGATTTCTTAAACTACTACGTAAAGCGGCGCCACTTTCTTGGCATCATTTTTTTTTTTTTCTTTGTCTTCAGACCAGGTATTCATTCCAAATTTTTGGCCAGATAAAACAGGCACTCCCGCATGGAGGGTTTTCGGATGGACTTGTCCAGATTCCCGCAAGTTCCCCCAAAGTACCGCGTTCCCAGCGATAGCTTTAGATCAAACCCCTTCACGAGGGGTCTCGTCGCATTCTATATGATCGCACCAGTTCTTTCCTTCTGGTCTTTTCAACAGTGGAAAATGCGTTCTCCCCCAGTGACATTTAAAAAAAGATGAACAAAAAACATGGCTCTTCGAGGATTAGACTCACCCCAATCATAATGTTTCACATAATGACCGGCTGTTCCATATTTAACGATCTCAATAGCCTCTATTTCTCTAGTCAAAGCACCAAATCCTTGGAAAGCCTGTGTGAGGTCCTCAATTGGACCAGCTTCAATCGCTTGGGATAGGCGGTTTTCGCATGCTGGTGTCTTTGGTCGATGGTAGTGCTGCCATCGAAAAGAATGATTTTGGAATCCCCAAATTCTGTTCCGCTATGATCAAATTAGATAGCTTCGAGTGGAAGTGCAATCCATAGGCTGTTTTACTTTAGCTTTGTTAGCTCTGCCGCCTCGAAGTCAGTTATGAATGAGGAAATGTAGATGACGAGCGGGTCAGCAGAGAAGACGTGAGCCTGATACGCATGACGACGGCAATCCCGATCCATAACGGCTTCGAGGCTCTTCTCTTGATAGAATTCGGATATGCGATTACAAACGGAAGTCCAATTGAGTACAGCTTAGATGTTGACTGCAATAGCCGAGAACAGTACGATCCGGGCTGATAGATAGTTCGTGTGCACAATGGACACAAAAGTCGAGTAATAGAGATTGGAGAATCCTGCGTCAAAAAATTGGCCCTCGGATCGACATTGGTAACTCCAGGCTTTAGTTGCGAGGGGCAATTACACGTGTGGGCAAAATGCGGAAGGCAATAGTCATCAAGCTGTCAGTTGTGGACCATGATGTTACGATTCAAACGCCCTTTTCGCGATCAGGTCATCGTGCAGCCTCAAAAAATGCGAACATAGAAAGGTTGGTTGCTTTGTTAGCGATCCTTGGGTTGTCGGAAGCAGTTCCTACAGCACCAAAGTAATGACAGATCGTATTACCACATGCACATCCCTAGATGGTAGTCCAAGTCAGATACTCCCCAGTCGAACGAGAATGTCATGCATGGCCGAGCATGACCTCCTACAGGATATGTGGGCGTGACATATGACAGTCTATCGTCTCATGAGTTAAATGTTACAATAATTGAGAATCAAGGTGTGAGTGGATATTGGTGATGAGTTGGATGAGGTGCATGCTTCAGTGCATGGTATGGTGTTTAAAAGTCCGTAAAGTTGACATGAAAAAACAGCACGTCAACATCCGTGGCGTTTGGATATTGGTGATAAGTTCAGCGAGATGCATCAATTGATGCTTTAGGACGTGCTCTGCGGGTCAAAAAGTCCGCAAAGTGGATCTTGAGAAACGGTCAACATCCGCGGTGAAGAGATGCTGATGATGTGATGGATCATGTTAATCCCGCAACCATCATATGCCGAGGTCGGCCAGAATGGTTTCTTTTAAGACGCGTCTCACTCCGGCTCCTAGTCTAAACCACCCATGGCATCAACCATACTCAGTATAAAATTCTGAAGCAGCTCCTTGGGATTCGAGATAGCCAATTCACCCATTCACCCCTTTTCCATATTTTTCAGAAAGAAACCAAGATATCTAAAAGCCGCACCACATCAATTGTCAACCAAAAATGAAACATCACTTTTTTGTTGCTCTCCTACTCTCCATATCTGGGATTGTCAATTCCGGGCCTATAGTAGAGCGAGTGCGTTGAATAAACCGGACATTGCGTGCCTAAATACTAACTCTTATCCAGGATACCCTCGATGTTCTCAATGGCAACAGCGGCTGGACCCCGCCTCCCGACCGCAAGAGAGATATGGCTGGGAATATCTGAATCATGTTGAAAGATCTGTCTGGTAGTTTAACATCATGGGATTCAACTATGCCTCGCTTATGCGACAGTTCAGAATACCGGCTGTTTTTACATTCATCCTCGGGCTACATACACTCATTACATCTCTTTGACTTGCTGTCCCTGGTACTTAAATATGTTTGCAAACATCGTCGGTCGCTTTACATCGTCAGGCAACGCTCATCGTTCTACTTGTGTACCAATTCACACTAGCTACCAGACAGAATTGATCCACTTCATGACAAGTGATGAAGTGTTCGTTACCCCAGCAAGGTGAATGTGTTTGCGACTTGACGTCTCAAAATCATCACTGTGGAAACCTTCGTGGCCGTGACGGGGACGGGTGGGCTATAGATGTCATCTAGTATCCGCGCTTTCCAAATCCTCCGTATCAAACGCAAGTTGCTCTATTGCAGTCGAGTAATCGCAATATCAGCGGCATTTACAGAAACAGATCATGTTGACCAGTCGGACGTCGGATCGACAGGCGGCAGAGATTTGCTTCTTATACAGAGAATTCTTAGGCTCAATCAAACCAAAAGCTTTGCACAGCTTCCTTACCCTTCCACGATAAGCTCTTTCCCTCATGCCAACTTGAAACGTTTTTATTTGATTCACATGTGCTGGATACTAAGCATCAACACATTCTAGCAGCGTTAGATCCCATGTGACACTACCAGTTGACGTATATAAGAGCAGCAGACGGTGTCCCCGAATCCTTTGAACTGAGCTTTGCCCCAAAGCCCACTTTGCCGTGCTCTTACCTACTTTCATTTTTCCAATTTCTTAAGCAATATGTCAGGTCAAATATTGTACTGAGCCGCGAGGATTGGATTAGCCCTCCTCTCCTACGGCGCACTAGTCCTAGGCTCTTTGCAATACTGCCACTAACCGACACATCATTGCCAATTTTGCATTTCAGCTATGATGACATTGAACGCTGCCACTTCCTCCGCAGATCTGCTCTTAACTTTCGGGTTCTAGGCGCTCCCTAAGACAGGTTAAACAGTGGTTGAATTCGGAGACAGAATGTTCCGATTTTTAATACTCATCGGATCTGTTGTCGACTCTCCCAATGAATCTCCCCCAACCCACTACATTGAAAGTTTTCGCTGAAAAAGATAGTAATAGTACCTGTCTTGAGAATTCGACATGGCAAGTGAGTAGCGAGAACTTGGTGGCTAACAGGCGTACGGAGGCCATTTTGAACCACGACCATACGAAATAGCGCCTGACACATCCATAGCCGCACTACACGTCAATGACAGTTTTTGGTTCGAAGCGAAGATTGTCTACTACGGATACGGCAAGTCATTGCCAGCACAGACAACGGACTTGCAACACCTAATTTAGGCAACGGACCGGGTCAGCAAACACTTAGACACTGCAGCCGATGCTGCGCTTATGGTCCATTGTCAACACGGCCACTCAGCATTCAATATCAGTAAATTGCAAGGAATAATGCAGCATGAGTTTCCCGTAATTAACTTCAATAAGGGAAATGGTGATGTGACCAGCTCTGTAAGTTGAGACGAACAGTCCACTTCAGTTTTCCCCATTCGGCCCTCATATGTGCACGGCATTTTAATGGTTGTTGGAACCATAGCTCTTTATCCGCTTGGAGCCGTTTTCATCCGTAGCCGACATGAATCATCGCTCAGTCTACACATTTTAATACAATGCATGGCGTCAGGACTATGTTTGGCTGGCCGTGTATTGGCGGGGATTACTATTGCATTCAACGGGCAGGTATGATCGTATGATCTAGTTTTGTTTGCTTCGGTAACAGTTCGAAAATTGATTTCTAATTTAGAGAAGCTTCAACGAGCCTTATGTTTTGTTTGGCCTTTCCATCCTTGTTCTCGTCATAGTACAGGTCTCGCTCGGTTACCTCCACCACTATAATTTCGAATGTCGAACTTCAATGCCGAAAGTCACCTGGGCACATATAATGTTCGGCCGTTTGATCGTAACTTTCGGGTGTGTCAAGTCATTCATATTCGTGCTCTTTGCCTGAAGGCATTCTGCCTGATACAAAGAACATAGTCTGACTTCATATTTCCACGGGCTCAGAGCTTGCTGGCTCATCGACTTTGACTTTCATCTTCCTCGGGACTCTGTCAGCCATGGATGCCTTCATCATCTCCGGACTGGCATATTTTCATCATTTGGGTATAGCAATGCCCGAAATTCAGGAAAAGACATAAACTCCTCTCCTCTCGTTGTTCGGGTCCCATGTTACGAGCAAGATAGCTTATTTTCGCTATCACTAGGTTCAAAATTGCCTTTTACTCTGCTTGCAACAGCAATGCCAACCACAAAGATTCCGCTCCAGATACTAGTTATAGTATTAGTAAACGTGTCCTTATAATTCCACTTTGTTTATAGTAAAGGAAAGATTCGTGGCTTTATGTGCTTGAGCTTGATAACCAACCCCTGCTGGCCACGCTTTCTTAATACAGAATGTGGACTAGGTGTATTATATTTCTAGCATGTTATATATTACACATCGCCATTACGGCTCACCATATGCAGAGTGTCGTGGCCCGCATATCTTGCCTAGCACTACTTCTTGTTAGTTCACCCTACGTTATGCAGCTACTTGTGCCGCACCTGCCTGGAAGATCACTCCGCTCCGGGCTGGCTGTTAAGCTGTTTTTCTCCCGCATAATAATGTGGCCCTGCGACTGTTTTGTAACGCCCTTCTGTTGCTGGATGTGCATGTCGTTCTCGTCCCTCTCCTAGACAGATTATTCGTGAGAATTTAAATTTTCCATCCCCTATCGGATACCTAGTCAGCCCCTGTTCATGCTATCCAGCTCTATACAATGAATCCTGTGACTTCAGAAGCCCGCAATAGCTGGTCTGCGGACGATACGATTCTGGCGCTTCGCAATCACAAACTAACTGTTCGCGAGCATATCTCGGATGTCCTCGGCCGTGCAGAGAGGGCACAGTCGTTGAATGCCTTCATTAACCTGCTGCCCGACCAGGCATTAGCCGCTGCAGATAAAATAGACGCTGCAATCGCAAAAAGAGAGCCTCTTCCTCCATTGGCAGGTCTGGCTATTGTTGTAAAAGACAACATCAACCTGGCTGGCTTCCCGAATACTGGTGGTACGAATGCTCTTCTCACCGCATGTCCGTCCAACACGGCACCGAGCCTGGAGAAGCTGATGGTGGCCGGTGCCGTTGTCATTGGCAAAACAAACATGCACGAGCTCGCATTTGGAGTCACGAGTACAAATTTGTCGCCATTTGCCGGGCCAGTACGCAACCCCTACGCCATCAACATGATTCCGGGTGGCTCATCAGGAGGAACGGCGGCAGCGATTGCTTCTCGTGTCGTAACCTGTGGTTTGGGTACAGACACCGGAGGCTCTTCGCGCATCCCCGCGGCTTTGACTGGAATTGCGGGTTATCGGCCGTCGGTTGGTGATGGAGGCGAGCAGCGTCGTTATCATGACGACCATGGCGTCCTCCCAATCAGCCACACTCGAGACACGGTTGGACCCATGGGCCGCAGCATGGCGGAAGTTACCCTGTTGGATTTTATTATATCTGGACGACCGCGAGCAAAGCCTGCCCAGCTCCATGGCGTCCGGCTAGGCATCCCGCCTGTGCTTTGGACGGGACTGGACAAGGAGCTGGAGAAAACAGTGCTGCGTGCACAACATATGCTCCAAGAAGCGGGAATCGAACTAGTCAAGAATGACATACCCAACTTGCTCGAGCTGGATAGCGCTGTCGGGCTTCCCATCGCAGTGCATGAGGCGCTTACTGATATCCCGGCGTATCTGCAAGGCTCACGCATCAAGGGTGTACGTCTAGAGGATATTTTCGACGGCATCTCAAGCCCAGACGTGAAACTTGTTTTCGGCTCCATAATAGACGATACCTTTGGACATGAGTACAATCAAGTCATGGCGGTTCGACGCCCAGCTCTCCAGAAGCTGTACGCAGACTACTTCCGACAGCACCGGATCGACGCTATCCTCTTCCCGACTACCATTCTTCCCGCCACGCCCATAGACATAGTACATGGCTCTGGGAACGTGTCCATCAACTGTGGACCCCCAATGGACGCCTTTACTGCTTACACTAGAAACACGGCGCCAGGAAGTGATGCGGGAATACCGGGCTTGAGCATACCCGTGGGAAAGACAGCCGACGGCTTGCCGGTTGGCATCGAAATTGACGGCCCTCTAGGCAGCGATGAGAGACTTCTTAGCTTAGGCCTTGCGATGGAAAAAGTGCTTGGTTGCTTGCCCGGCCCAAAGCCTTGGGTCTGATTTTCCCTGACGCTCTGTTAATCGAACGCCCGACTCTCCCAAATGTAATGCTGATGCAGTCAAAAGCTCGATACGTCGTGGGAACCACCAGATTTGGCAGAAAGTGTTTAGCTGTCGGGATAACAACCAAGGGTGACTCGTCAGATGTGTCATGGTCAGTGTGGTTGGGAACGTGAATTTGATAAGCATCTTCATCACAAAGATTACTTGGAAAAAGGGCATTTCTGTCTAATTTAAAACTAGCCATTGCACAGCAAAAGTGGTATCATCCATTGCCATTAAACGGCCCCTAGATTTACGGTTCAAAACACTGCTAAGAGAAACCAAACCATAAAAGAACTCCGGCTACCATGTCAGACTGGCTGAAATGCAGCTGAGGATGTAGCATTAGAACAAGGTGCTCCTTTGCGGCTGTAATATCGTACCGGATTATCCATAATGTATTCCTCGCTGTCGTTGATTGTCGCCCAGCCTTGAGGAACGTGTTTCTGGCTATCCCATTTCCTTTGCTCAAGCCGGTGGCTTTGGCGACCAATGGTTACAATGGAAATCTCCCTGTTCCCAATGTCGCTCTTGGACCGATCCTTGGATGATATGCTGTGGACTATTATTGTGCATTTCCTAATAATCCACGGTCCCAAAATCGGCGCGTTCACAGAAATGATGCCCACAAACTGCAAAACGGTCAACATTAGCAACTTGCCCCCGTTAAAAAGTGTAGCACATGCCATGGCATCTTACTGTCTCGCGAATTGCCCATATGGTTGAAATATCTACCCTGGTTGCATCCTTTATAGACAGAACGCATCGCAAAAGACTTGCAACGATGACAAAAATACCGGTGGTGAGCCAAAGCCCATAGACCAGTTTCCTAATCGTCATAAGTAGTCGATTTCGGTTATAACGGGAAGAGTCTCTTACTTGGACCATGGAAGCTGCACAATCCACAGGAGTGGTAGCGGGATGTAGAGGATAAGTAAATCCGTACTAAGATATGCATTAGATACAGCTTGAAATCATGCTCCTTAGTTTGGTGATGGCAACTCACGACACATTCGTCACGAGCAAGGTGAAAAATACTTGATTCGGACTACCACAATTGTCTGGGTCGGCTGTTAGGAATCAATGTTACACTCAGCTTATACTGGGGGATTTGTCTTACCACCTGGATACGGGTAGATTTGCCAGTTTTTATAGAAAGGTAGGCACCGTAACAAAACGACTCCAATCGTAGCCATAAAAGAGAAAACGCAAGCGATCGCAGCTATAATGACGAGGCGTCTCTGCTGAGTTTCCAGTCTACATGTCCAGTGATCAGCTCATACCAAGACTCAGCAAGAAAAAGAGCTGCATCACCCACGTAAGCCTGCGGTAGAAGAAGAGCATGCATGCTTTCAGGCACCATATAAGCGTGATGTAGAGACACCATCCGGCCATGTCAGCTTTGGAGCCCTTAACGATACGTTTCTTCTCTGCTTGTGTTAGGGAGAGGGCCATGTCGTCGGTCATGCCCACAATGGATCCCCATTGTCCTAATTAGAACCAAATTAGATCAGGAATTGGAAGGTTGATAACAATATTGGATAACCCACCTATCATTTCAAGCATGGCAGTTTCGCCCTTGATAACCGAGATGTCAGCAATAGCACTATGAAATACTAGACATTCGGGAGTTGACGTACAGTTAAGAAAAATACGGCCGCAATAGCGAAGTAGTCATCCCCATGCCAGTTCCATCCCACGACATGTATTCTGTAGGCAGTTCGACCGAGAAGAACGGTCATGCCAATAGCGTACTCCGTCCAAGCTTCGACCTGTAATGGCGTCGTGGCCATTTTGCCAATTGATTGTCGCGATACAACGGCATCAACCCCAACGGGCTGTAAATGCCGCCGACATTAGGAAAGCGGGCGGGTGAATGGGAGGTCTGAGGTAGAGAAAGGACTCCAAAATCTCCTGGCGGGTCTCGCTGTTTTTAAGATGAGATGAATCATAGTGGATCGGCAAGGTTCAAATGTTTCAACATGTGTTGGTCTAGCATGCTTTGGATTATGGCCCTCGGCATCTGACTTTGCTAAGATATCCATGCCAAATACCGTGCGCATGGTAGTGTCAACCAAGTACCAACCACAATCCGGTTATGGCGCCACGCCTGGCTCAGGTCTCAGACTAGGAGTTTTAGACGCGAAGCCAATAACAGCATCTAACAGATTAGAGGCGGCCAGTTGACATGTGTCAAATGCACGAATATTCCCCGGAGTCTTTGTAGGTAGAGAGGAGTTCGTTTGTCTTCCCCGATAGGCGCTGACAACGGTGCCCGGCTGCTACGTGTGCAGATACTTCTCTAGCGCTTTTATAGAGGAAATGCGTCATCTTCTTATCGAGATGCAGTAATGTATTCTATACTCAGAGCACTTAGCCAGCTTATTGTAGTCCTGGTTCATGAGTGTCGATGGCTCGTTGACAGGTAGTGTCATGCTAGCACTGTGATCTTTCCTCCTCCTCTTCATATTTTCCAATAGTCACATCTGTGGTCCTCAAAAATGAAGTCTCTTTTTGACGTTACGCTTCGATGACACCTCGAAACATGAATTCTTCGGGATCAAGAATCACTATTAAGGGGCTCCGAACGTTCCGGTCGGCCGTTCCTGTTCCTGTCGAGAACGGAGATGCAGGGGCTGCGATGAGTGTAATTTGAGAACGTCGATCAAGGATCTTGGTTCACCTCAACTTTAAGCTGCTATGCCCTTTACGTTCTTGAATATTCATGAGTTTCATCTAGAGCTTAGTCGACAGATAACAAACTATATCAAGAGAGAAACTTCCAATAATCGGTGCACGAAGCCAACGGGCAAATAAAACCCGTAGATCCGAAAACGTGTAGTGGCAGCCTGGATGCGTTGGAGGGCGCATTGGTGCTCTAGTCCGACGTACATGTAGCACTTTGCTCTCCAAACTTGCGTCTGCATGCTCCCAACGCAAGGCATAGCTATTGATCCGTTCTATCCTAGTAGACTAACACTGATCCCATGAGCGACGACGCTGTTGCATCACTAGTTGACAGGTGGAGAGATAAACTTCTCCATGTCGAATCACGGGATCCGGTAATTCCAGAATACATGGGATTCGTAGATGGCCAGCAAAAATTTCTGTTACTAGATTTGAAAATTAAGACCCCAGTCCTAATGTCTTGTGCGTTTGACCTGCCCTAACCTCTCTTTAGTTCGAGACTCGTGTGAGATGCAGCCAAGACATTCCTGTTATACTATTACGTAGCGTTTCTCTCGCACTAGAACTTCGTTCTGTGGCAGTATTTCTCTAGAGGAAATTATAGTTTACTTCTATCGCCTAGAAACGGGAGGAACCTCGTATTACTCTAAGCATGCAAGGGAATGATGCAGGTAGCTTGTTATGGATATTTGCGAGCTCTCTATAGAAATTAGGCATTGCAAGAATGAATAGAGAAGGAGAATTCCAGTGCATAATCGTTCTATACTAATAATACATTATCCACTAAGCAATTAGCTATTATGAATTTATGATAGGCTCAGGTTATCAGCCACGAAACGACTCACGCATATCTTCAAAAATTCCGAAAGTAACTATACACGAGCAAAGTAAAAGCGATATGATGATCAATTAGTAATCAGACTATAAGCTGCCCCTATCTTCCTATTGCATAAATTCTCAGCCGATGCTGCTAGACGAACTTGAGGTGACTTACCGGTTTATACACTGTGATTAAAGACATGGATACGAAACGTCTAAAGTTCTGATATCCCCAAGAGAAATTTAAGCCTCCAAGCATAACCGTCCCGATATTACGATGGGAACATTCCGGTATTACTTGTAATTGTCAATATAATGTTAGATAAAGCGCAATTAGTTACATACGACCACAGCCGCTAGTAGAACTCACGATCCCGTTAAGCTCTTCTCCGGGGTTCTAATACCTTTAAATATAAAGGAGTATACCTCTTAAAATAGAGGATATAGTATTTAGTTTTAAAGGATTAGGAACTAAGAGTTAGTATAAGAGGATTATAGTTACTCGCCGTATTTTACGTGGGTGTTAAGGAAATTAAATACCGCTAATACTAATAAGATATATGTTTCTTAATACATTAAAGCTACTCTCTTCTATTATATAACCCTTAATTACTTATAGGGTTTAGACTTTTTATCTTAATTAATAGCTAATTATATAAAGTAATATTATTATATAACACTCTTATTATCTAGTCTTTTATTTAAGTAAGAAGTATAATCTCCTATAATTATAATTTTTAGGTATTATATTAGATTAAGAATTTATAGTTTCTTATAGTTTTTCTTTATTAATAGTAAAAGACTATTAAAAATCTGCTTTATTCTCCTACTATAATAGTTTATAAATCCCCCTAATATAATAGGTATATTATTAATATACGGCTAAGTTAAGCTTACTTATAGTATTAAAGTAAGCGGAGAAGTAGTAGATTATTATAATTAATAAGCTTATTAGGTATAGTTTATAAGAGCGTTAAATTAATTAAAGTAATAGCTATACTAATAGAATATAATAGAGCCCCTCTACTATTACTAGTGTATCTTTTAGCTTTTAGTATATAAGAATTTTTACGTTATTAGTTAATCTAGCTTTTATACCTTCATTTATATAACTATATTAGCTTAATAAGATTAGCGTTATATAAGAGGTAAAGAGAGGTAATAAAGGTAACCCTTTAGAGTTTTAAGTTAAAGTTACTTTATATAAACGCGAAAAGTTATTTACTTAGCCTTTAAAAGTAACCGAGAATTTCTAGAGACCCCTTATACTATTATATATTTAATAGATTCGCTAATCGTTAAAAGCGAGAACGAGCCTAGTTATAGTAGCCCTTTTACTTTAAAGGAGAAATAAAAGATAACTAGTTATTAATATTATTATTATACTATTTCATATAAATTTAACTTCTAAGAATATTAATTTACTAGACTAATACCCTAAAACTATCTTATTATTATATAGCGCTACTATAAAAGCCTTATAATTTACAGGTAGCTATAGGCTTTTCTTATTATTTAGAGTTATTTACTCTTTATTAACATATAAAAGATAGTTAAAAGGAGTCTTATTAGAATATTATTCGAATAAGACAAATATAAATAACAGCTAGAATAATCTATAATCTATTATAAGGTATTTACTATTAAGCGAGAAAGCTATAGCTATAATCTAGTTACTATATCCCTTAAGCGTTTACTAGTAGCTCCCTATTACCGTATCTTAAAGCTAAATAGTCTTATCCTTTAATACTAAGCTAAGCGTTTTACTATTAAGTAAAAAGGCTATAGCTGTAACCTAGCTATAATATCCCTTAAGCGTTCGCTAGTAGCTTCTCGTTACCATATTCTAAAGCTAAATAGTCTTATCGCGTAACGTTAAGGCAAGTGTCTTATTATTAGGCGAGAAGACTATAGCTGTAACTCTACTATTATATCCCTTAAGCGTCTACTAGTAGCTCCCTATTACCGTATCTTAGAGCTAGATAGTCTCGTTCTTTAACGCTAAGGTAAGCGTCTTACTATTAGGCGAGAAGGCTACGGCTGTAACCTAGCTGTAGTGTCCCTTAAGCGTCTACTAGTATATATTCTAGTAGGCCTTAATTTCTATTATTATTTAGATAAACGGTAACTTATACTCCTATTATATAGCTTTAACCTCGCTTATTACTAGGCTAAATACGAGTATAAAAGCGTATATTTATAGTAAAGCTTATTTTATAATTAACCTATAGCTTTAAATAAACGCCTTTATATCTTCTAGGAATTAAGTAAGCTTAAAACTTACACTTAATTTTTAAAGGGAATTAATAGCTATAAGAAATAAAGAGTTATAAGTATACCTAGGTAATATATAAAAGCTTTTTAATTATTTATATCTCTTTTAAAAGCTTTTTTAAAAGGGATAGGCTTTTAAGCTAGTATAAAAGACTTTACTTTAAAAACGTAAATACTTCTTTATTATTTACTAGTATACTCTTACACTTAAGGCTTTTACTATTCCTAATAAGGTAATTAGCTTAAAAGACGTAGAAGTATTATATTAAAGCTAGCAGGTTTAGTTAAGGGGTTATTATATCCTTTAGTTTAAAGCTATAATTAAAGTTATATATATTTTACTATAAAACCGCGAATATTACTTTAATAGAGCGTTTAGTAATATTTACGTGTTCTTAAATAGCTTTAAATAGCTAAAGTTTAAGTGTAAAGTTCTTATTTAAATAGTTCTTAATAAACTAATAAATAAGGTAAACTATTTCCTCTCTTATTACTAGAAATAAGCTATATAGCTTAATAGCTATTACTATAATATTATCTAATATAATAAAAAGAGTAGCTAGCTTAAATATAAAGAGTAAACGAAATATAAGAGTAGCGTATACTAGAATTCTCTTATAATTCTAGGGGTTTACTTCCTTTACTTTCTTAATTCTTATTATTATATAATTATATAGCTTTAATAAACCTAAAGGTATAGCTTTAATACGCTAAATAATATATTATTTATAAATTATTTTAAGAACTTTAAATGTAAGAGCTACTTAAAGAAAAGTGTTTAAGACTCTTTAATAGAGTTTATTTAAGACCTTATTTAAAACGATTAAATTATACCTATACTTACCCTTAAGGGTAAAGAGCTTATAATTAATATACGCGTTAATAAGCCTTACTAGAATTTATATATTTAGCTTAATAAGGCTCTTTAAAATATTTTAAGTATAGGCATTTAAAGTCTTAAGTCTAATAATAATATTAACCTTTAGCTAGCTAAAGACTAGCTACCTTACCT